ATAGCCTCCCATGTGATAAAGATAAGCTTCAAAAGGATTCAAACATCCAAAAATATTAAACGTCAAGTTAAGTTAATGCATTCAATAACTTCTTTTCCAAACTGAATGATACATTTAAATAAAACTGTTGATTGCAATGAATTGATTCCACTGTATTTCCAACCTCATAAATGCAATGAAGTTATTCCTAAAATGTATTTTGTTAAAAAAAAGATGTAATCTAAGAATCTATTGAAATTTTTATTTTTAAATACCTCTTATTATTGATTAAGTAAAACATGCAAATAAATGGAAAAGGGATAGGTTGGTTGGTTGGTTGGTAGGTAGATAGGTAGATAGATAGATGGATGGATAGATAGAGAGACTTTGAGAAAAAATTAAAAGGAGAATAAGAAAGAATTAGAACAAATTTCTTTTTCTTTCTGCCCCCTTCCTTGCTACTTTAATATTTTTATACTTTACTGTGGACATTATTACTCATTCCTAATTGGATTGCTTGAATTATTTTAATTTTTTCCCCCCAAAACCATATTCTAAATATGTGTTGTCTTGCTGAATGCGAACCAATTCTTTTCATTAGATTCACAATTTTTGCCACTATCTTAATAAATTATTATATGTTTTATGTACCTTGGTGGTTTCATATGCAAATGAAATTAAAAATCATCACAAATAGAAATATTTGATGTTTCTGACCTTTACTGGCAACTATGGATAAACCATTGGCTACGAGTCTGCTTTGGGGGTAGGTGTTACTCGTGGTTAACATTGGAATTACAGCTAAGTCTCCAACCATATCAGTCACAACTACCTTGTGTACCTCTGTTCTTTTCAGCTGGTCTGTGTGTCATCCCCAAATGCTATCATCAGCAATCGCTATAAAAGTTTGAGTTCCTTCTTTGTTTTGATTGTTCACTTACACTCTAGCTTTTGTTAGTATAGTTAGTCTAGTACAGAAGTGTCAGGTTTCTGTATGAGAAGTTCTGAGTTATTTCTGCTACAATATTTGTCCTATATGCCTCTCAAAGTATGTTGGATCTAAGAAGCAGCCTAAGAACAACATTTCTTACCTTTTATTTGCTCTTGTACTGTATGTATTATATTGCAATATTAAGTAGAAAAAATTCAATTTTTTGAATCAGTGTTATATTTTCCATAGAAAGTAGTCACAAAGCATTCTTAAAACTTTGAACAAACTTTGAATCTTTCAGCTAATCCATTTGTAGCAAGGTGCTACAGCACTGATGTTCTATGTTTGATTCCATTTCTTTCCAGAAATGCCTGAAACTATTCCACTATAAATTGTCACTGCTATGAAACACTGTTCTCACAAAGAGTTTTAGTAACACATCTGCTGTATGCATATTGAGATCATTGGAAATATCTCTGATCTGTTTGAATTTACATCCACCACAACTAAAAATGATGTGCCATAAATGATCCTTCAAAGTCTATATGAATTATTTGCTACACCATTTGCATAGGTAAAGTGCTATTTTTTCCATCTTCAGGCAATATACTGTAAATAGTCTAAACAACTCATTGCAAATGTTTAATTGAGTGGTCTATGCATGCTGTTCAATATAAGCAAATGGGAAAGTTGAAGATTAAACAGACACAAAAAGAAATGCAAATTACATATACATATTTAGTAGCCAAGGACTGATCGGGAAAGGATTTCAGAAGTGTGATGTTGCTGCTGCTGTTACAAACAAGAAAAAGTTGAATAATCTGGAATATAATAATTCTGTGATGACTGGTACATAGTGTACAGTTCCAGTTATTACACCATAGACCAAAAAAAAAGTCAGCATTAGAAAATTAAAACACCTCAAATAATCACCTTTCTATATAAACTTATGACCTTCTTGATACATATGAATGGCCCTTTACAACGTTAAATGCTGGACTAGACTATCCTTTAGCCTAGAGAGGCAGGGCCCATTAATCTCAAGCAATTAGAAATGACTAAAGTTGAATGTTCTGCCAGAAAATGGCCCTGGAATGCAGACAATAGAGTAGTTGCCAGTTTGACAAACAGCCATACTTTGGGGTGAAGCACAAAATATTTGGACATTAATGTATTTTTAACTCTTTTTCTTCTAAGAAACTTCTTCAAAAAATTCACCAGACAGGATACTTGCTAGACCTTGTGGTAAAAGCAAAGAGAGATTATTTTTGAGCACAATATCCAATTGGATGGATTTTTTTTTTTTAAATGGAGTTCAACTAGAATGAGCCACTAGAAAAATTGTGTAGTTATATAGCGCCACTTCACTGATAGAATGGTTTGCTAAACATAAGGCGTTTCATTTCTGTCAAATCAATGTTTACAGTTTGATTATGTCTGAGTACAAAGAAAAATAGTGATAGAACTTTAACTAGTATAAGTTTTCCTTCATTTTATTTATTAAATATAAGGCAAATAAAATCAGATGTAACTAATTGAGAAAAAAAGACACACAAAAAAAGAAGCCTCCAATTAAAAATTCCCTGGAAATCCCATAGCACTTTTCCCTTTATTTCTCATATGACCCCCTAGGAAACTATGTGATATGGAAGAGTTCTGAAGGTTTAAATTAAAAATCTTTTAAGATGTGGAATGTATAAACAGTCCAATGTAGGTGAAGCATGTATGGCACAATGAAGTAAAACAAGGACCCTGCTCTGGAGAAAGTTTGAAAAAAGGAAGACCCAAGTAATCTTTGTTTGCTTTTCAGGAACATAATTCTCTCACCAGGCTTCAGAGGCCCTGCCTGCTCCATAATATACGAATAGTAATCCACCAGGCATTCAGTTGGAGAAAGCTATTATAGAGATCATTGTTCTCATGGTCTTTATCATATCTTTATCATATCTTATGCGGAAATGCGTAAGATCTCCGACCTCAGGGTATTTCGCTGTACCCTTAAGACCCTGCTGTTCCGCCAGGCCGGGCTATCAATGTAATGATTTTAAATTGGATGTTTTAAATTTTGGGGGGTTTTAATATTGAGCCGAAATTATTTAATAATTTTAAATAATTTTAATTGTTTGTCTTTGGGCTTTTAATAGGCTGTACACCGCCCTGAGTCCTTCGGGAGAAGGGCGGTATAGAAATAAAATTATTATTATTATTATTATTATTATTATTATTATTATTATTATTATTATTATTATTTAATCTTTAATGAGATTCACAGCCTGGTGAATAGCTGGCTGGTTAATAGCTCAGCAGCTCAAGTCCTAACCAAGGACCTAGGAACTGTTAAGGTATCATCGGAGGATGTAAGCTGTTCCAAGTAAGGTGGTTTTTTGTAGAGTCAAAATGTTCAAGTCCGGCAAATTTAGAATTTCTAAATAGCGGGGCAGCCCTTTGGGTATTGCTCCAAGGGCTCCAATTACAATCGGCACAACACACAATTTCTTTTTCCACAGTCGCTCAACTTCAATTTGCAAGTCCCGGTACTTTGATTTTTTCTTGCTACTTATCTTCAATCCGTGCATCACCAGGTATTGCAATGTCAATGAACCATACTTTTTTCTTTTCAACTATTGTTATGTCAGGTGTGTTGTGGACCAAGTGCCTGTCAGTCTGAATCCTAAAGTCCCACAAGATCTTGAGTTTCTCATTCTCTAAAACTTTCTCAACCTGATGTTCCCAGTGGTTTTTGCTGTACTCAGATCCAAACTTCTGGCACAATTTCCAGTGAATGATCTTAGCAACACGGTCATGGCGTTGTAGGTAGTCAGTTTGTGAAATTTTGCTGCACCCACTGATCAGGTGGTCGACTGTCTCATCTTTCTCATTGCAGAGGCGGCATTTGCTGTTGGTGGTAATATGTTGAATTTTGCCTTCATGCAGTTTGTGGCTAGGGCTTGTTCTTGAGCTGCCAAAATAAAGCTTTCTGTTTCTTTTTTTCAGTACTCCTGATCTTAACCAGTTCCAAGTTAGTTTCTGGTCAGCTTTGCCTTCAATACTTTTCAAGTATTGGCCATGCAGAGCTTTGTGTTTCCAATTTTCAGCTCGCTGCTCAATTACTTCTTTCTTAGATTCTGCTTTTGTTTTAGTTGTCTTTAAAAGGCCTCCTTTATTTACTTCCTTAATCATTGGTTCTTCACTTTTCTGGATGTAATTATTCAAGCTGCATTTTTCTTTACTTGTAGGAGTCCTCGACCACCCTCTGCTCTTGGTAAATATAATTGGTCAACATCACTTTTAGGGTGCAAGGCATGATTTATTGTCATAAGCTTTATTATTATTATTATTATTATTATTATTATTATTATTATTATTTAATCTTTAGTGAGATTCACAGCCTTTGAGGCTGGTTAATAGCTCAGCAGCTCGAGTCCTAACCAAGGACCTAGGAACTGTTAAGGTATCGTCTGAGGATATAAGCTGTTCTGAGTAAGGTGGTTTTTTGTAGAGTCAAAATGTTCAAGTCTGGCAAATTTAGAATTTCTAAATAGCGGGGTAGCCCTTTGGGTATTGCAATAATAATAATAATAATAATAATAATAATAATAATAATAATAATAATAATAATAATAATAATAATAATATCACATCCTCAATTTCGCTAGCAGTTATGAAGCATTTTTTGGAAAATATTTCACCTCTTGATAAACTTTCTTTACCCAAATTTATTGGATTTTTTTTTTTTTTTTTTCCGGTGCTAAACCCCCCCCCCCCCCCCATAAAGCAGAAGTTCTCAAATATTCGGGTTACAGTTTGGCAGAAGCTGTTTTATATGCTGTTTTTTAGACCTTCGCGGACCAAAACTTCTCCAGCATCCCTTTCCGTGAAGAGTGCCAGCTGACACGTTTAAGTACATTCTCTATTCACCGTCCGCCCATTTCGCCCTCCATCCAGATTAGGACGCCTGCCACCAAGGAAAGGAAGGATGGCGGACGAGAAGCCTCCCCCGCCGCTGCTGGGTCTCACAAGCCGAGGAAAGCCACCCCCCCCCCCAAAGGCTTCCTCGGTCTTCCGGAGAAATAGGATAGCCGGGGAGCCTGTGTTGCTACATTGGGATGGGACTCTGGGTGCGGCAGGACTTGAGCTTAGCCAAAGACCGCCTTACTTCGAGAGGCTCTCGGTCTGGAAGCTGCGGGATGCAGCCTTTCGGCTGGCCATTTCGAGAGCCCGGTTTTGCCTCGAACTGCACGGAACGGAATACTTTCTGGGCCAAGTGCGGTTGCCGATGCCTTCGGTCCTGAGTTTCTAAAGAGGCCTTCCCCCCCCCCCGTTTCTCGGCTGTTTGGCGAAAGAGGCGCCCCACCTCTACCCCTCCTCCCTCCCTCCCCTCCCCTCCCGCTTTTATTTCGCCCCCCGCGTCTTCAGGCGCAGCTCTTCGCCTTTCTCTTTCTCTCTCTCTTTCTCTCTCTCTTTTTCCTCCTTTCACCCGCGGAGAAGGAAGCCGGGCGTCGTCATGAGCGCCAAACTGCGCTCGGGCTTCTACCTGGGAAAGAAATCCGCGCTGCTGCTGGCGCTGCTCCCGGTTGCCTTGCTGGGGGCGCTCCTAGTGCTGGCGATCCTCTACGGGCGTTGCGCGCTGGGACCGAAAGAACCCGAGCAGCTGAGGCCAGGCGTTCCGACGACGCCCTGGGCCAACGCTAGCGCGGAGCCCACGGCGCGGCCCCCGGGACCCTGGGACCAGCAGCGCTTGCCCCGGCACGTCACGCCGATCCACTACTCGCTCCTGCTCTGGCCTCACCTGGCGCCCGGCCTCCCCAAACCCCGCACGCACTCGGGGCAGGTGAACATCACGGTGCGGTGCCGCCAAGCCACCTCCGCGGTTCTCCTGCACAGCGCCGAGCTGACTTACCAGGGCGCTTCGGTGTGGGGTCCGCTGGAAGAGGGGCCCGCCAACTCCACCCGCAGCATCCCGTTGGGGGAGGTGTGGACGGCCCCTGGGAACCAGTACCTGGTGCTCGAACTGCTGGAGAGCCTGAGAGCGGGCAGCCTCTACGAGCTGCGGTTCGCCTTTCAGGGGAAGATTCAGCCGGGGCCGGACTACTTCGGGCTCTTCCTGAACACCTACAAGGACGAAGGCGAGAGGAGGTAAGGTCTTGTTCCCAAGGATGCCGCTTGAAGGCTTATAACAGGGCTGGTGAGAACTCGCTACTTCGAATCCTATCCGGGAAAGAAAGGCAGAACGCACATCTAGGGAGTTATTCTAAGGCCACCGTACCAGAGGTGAAATCCAACAAGTTCTAACAGGTTCTGGAGAACCGGTAGCGGAAATTTTGAGTAGTTCGGAGAACCGGCAAATACCACCTCTGGCTGGCTCCAGAATGTGGTGGGAATGGAGATTTTGCAATATCCTTTCCCCCAGGAGGGGAGGAAATGGAGATTTTGCAGTATCCTTCCCCTGGAGAGGGGTGGGAATGGAGATTTTGCAATATCCTTCCCCTGCCACGCCCGCCACGCCAGGCCCACAGGACCGGTAGGGAAAAAAAATTGGATTTCACCCCTGCACCGTACCATTATCATCATGCAGATAAATAAATATAAGAAAAAGGATGCCCTGTCTCCAAAATAGAATGAAATGAATTTCGGTGACAATGCATCCATCTGGTTGACTGTTTTAAAATTGTAAAGGGTATTAAGTAACACTTCTCTGATCAGCTGATACTCCCTGGAGTTGCTCAAGACCTTTTATAACTGCTGCACTGTTGGCTACTTCTTGTTCCTTCCTGGGAGAAAAAGATAGATGATGGGACAATGGTACAGCTTGATCATACAGGCCCTGAATTTAATGTATGTGTGGTCCAGCCAGCTGTATTGATTCTGCTGTGAAGCACCCAATTTAGAACATAGAGAACATAGAATAATAGAGTTGGAAGGGAACTCAGAGGTCTTCTAGTCCAATTTCCTTGAGCAGGAGACTCTCTATCATTTCAGACAAATAGTTGTCCCATCTCTTTTTGAAAGCCTTTAATGATGGAGCACCCACAACGTCTGAAGGCAAGCTATTCCATTGGCTCTCACCATTAGGAAATTTCTCCTTAGTCCTAGGTTGCTTCTCTCTTTGGTTAGTGTCCATTCACTGTTTCTTGTTCTCACCATTAGGAAATTTCTCCTTAGTCCTAGGTTGCTTCTCTCTTTGGTTAGTTTCCATTCACTGTTTCTTGTTGTGCCTTTTGGTGCTTTCGCAAATAGATTGACCCTCTCATTTTTGTAGGAGTATTTTATTGTAGTAAAAACAAGTATTTTTTGTAAGTGGTGAGCGCTATTTTATTGTCAGTTGGGTAGGTGCTTGGCAAAATTGATTAAACAGAAAAATTGGCATATTTGAATTGGCTTTTTAAATCCTATCATCACTTCTCTAGATAAAAAGTGAAAGATTGTCAAAAAGGTCACCAGTATTGTAAAACTGGGGCAATATTTGCACTATCAGTTTGAAACTACCGTATTAAGACACACCTTTTTCCCCCTAAAAGGGGGTGAAAATTTAGATGTGTCTTATACACCTAATGTAGCCTCAGCCACCCACTGGCCCCACCCTTTGGCCTCTGCCTCGCAGCAATTACCTCCTTGCAAGCAAACAAGAAAAAACAGCTCCTTTCAGCTTCAGCACAGGCTAATTAGCACAAGTTGATTGGATCGGCCTCCTAACTCTCAGGTGAGATTTGCTCTCAGCTGTTTTGCACAGGGCTCTGCTGCTTGTTGCAAAGAGGTAAATTGCTGGAACAGATTTTTTTCCTTGTGCTAATCAAGCTATGCTGAAAATGAAAAAGAAAGTAAAGCAGGCTGTTTGCTGCAATGAGGCAAAATTGCTCAGAGGCAGAGGGAGATTTCTTTTTCTTTTCCTCACCAAAAAAGGTAGGCGTGTCTTATACTCTGGTGAGTCTTATACTCCAAAAAATACAGTATCTCAAAATTTCTAATGGAAAGAGCACATCAAAGGAGTGTTGGAAGAAATCTGGGTTCAGTTCCAAGTGAGGAGAAAGGCACTGGAAACATGGAGGCTGTTTGGAAAGATGGTTTAATGGTGGACAGGACTACATGGTTTGAGATCCTGGGCAATCAAGCACATGGGTAAGAGAGGGAGAGAGATGTATACCATCTCTTGGGCTTTGAACTTGCTTCCTGTTTCTGTGGCAAGAAATGTATCCTGATTGATTGTCAGACTCCCATGGGGCCATGCAGGGGTAACTTTGTAGGTTGTCTTGAGTCTCAGGCTTGGTTGAATCTTGCTGGGTGATGTAATGAAAGGGCTTTGGGCAATTCCTATTATGGCTTAATGGTTTGGATCTTGAGTGAGGGTTAATCCTATCACCCTGGAGCTGAAGGTCTTTTGTCTTGTAGATAAGATGGCACCAAAATATCTGCTGGGGCTGAGTTTCTGTGTCCCTTAAGATTTCTATTTTTCTTTTAGGGGAAATATACTGCCTTTTTAATATTTCCTAGAATATTTCATTCTTCTAGGAGTGGGGTGAGTGCTAACTTTCTACAGAGACATGGATGACTTTCCTATCTTTCTGTAGTTGACTAGGTTGTACCAGTAGGATGAAAGGTGGATGTCTCAGCTCTCTTTTCTGCTATTTGCACCCTGGTGCCCCCACTTTTCTGTCCTAATGTAGCTGCTTAGTGATATCTGCAGCCATTGCCCGTCAATCACATAGATAGATTTGCCTGATGTTTTCCCACATAACCCTGGCATATGAGACAGGTAAGAATTTTACAGGCTCTGCCATTGTTGAAGAATAAACCAAAAAGTACGAAAAATAAAGTGGATAAAAACGAAATAAATTCAGTAGTGTAAGGCATGTGACAAGGCAGTCAGCACCCCTTCTCCTTTAGAAGGACATCATTTTCACAAATGATTTATTTATTTTGTTAGATTTTTATCCTGTCTTCATTACTTTATAAGGAACTCAAGGTGGAAAACATATCTAATATTCCTTCCTCCTCTTAGTTTCCCGACAACAACAACCTAAGAAGTGGTTTGAGCTGAGACAGAGGGACTGGTCACTCAGCCACTTTTTCAAGCGTGAAATGGGACTAGAACTCAGAGTCTCTTGGTTTCTAGACCCGCACCTTAACACTACTTTGTTTAAAAAGGAGGAAGGAATGTCAAAATAACTTGTAAGAATTGCATGCAAAAACAGGGCTGGAGGAAACAAACTTGTAAAGCTGCAAACATCGCAGATAACATTTCAGAATAATCTCCCATAGAATGTTACAAAAGGCAAGAGCAGTTGTAGCAAATTACAATCTGGAATGGACCTGGTAGTAGGAAAGGAGGCCAGAATGAGCAGTGACATATTGCAAGATGCACCAAACCTGAAGTCAAGATGTTATTTATTTGCACAAGGCGAGCATTCTTTTTATTTGAAAACTTGTTGAAATTAAAATAAACCGGCTTTCTTTTTCTGTAATGCCCTTGACAATCCATGTTATTTTATCTTCTGAGCAAGTGAGACATAAGGTCAACTCCTGTCCTCATTTAGCAGTATGTTTGCTGTCCAAAAGCAGTGTGTTTTGAAACATGCTAATAACTAATCCACTCTTTCCTATCCTGGCATTCTCTCTGACTTGTGTGGTTATTCTTTCCTGGAATTGTCATCTGACACATCTGGAAAACACAAGGTTGGACCAGGCTCACCCTTTACTTCCTTGAACAAATAGAAACTGTGAAGTATTATAGGTGGGGCTCATATATTCTGCTACGTACTGGTCATTGAGCATGGTGTGTTGACTAATCTGCAGTTGACCAGATTCCTATGTAGTGCTAATACATAAAATAGAACTAGATAACTTTTTTGCAATCAAAAGTAATACAGGTACTCCCTATTTAACAACTTTCCTGTTTGATAACTGTTTCTGATCCTGCTGAAAAAGTTACAGTTGTTGCAGCATCCCTACAGTCATGTGATTGAGCTTTGAATGCTTCACAATTGGCAGGCATTTAGCACCATTGCAGCATCTTGCAGTTACATGATTGCCGTTTGCGACCTTCACAGCTTCTCAGAAGGAAAATCAATGAGGAAGCTGGCAGTAAAATTGCAAGTTATGTTCATCCGATGTTTCACTTAATAACCATGTCACCAAACAACGGACTTGCTGGTCCCAAATGTGGCAGTTAAGGGAGGACTACCTGCACTAACATTTTTTCCCCCTGAAACTGAGAACCACAATGTAGATCAAATCATACTGCATACAGTATGTGGAAAGGGAGTTGGTGTTTTGAAGGAACTTTTGGAAATTCCTAAGAGAGAGAGAAAGAAGGAAGAGGGAGAGAAAGAAGGAGAAGGAGGGAGGGAGGGAGGGAGAGAGAGAGGGAGAGGGAGAGGAAATGAATGAGCCGGTCTACACCACAGTTTGATAATAATAATAACTTTATTGTCATTGTATGTTATACACAGTATTACCCATACAACGAAATTCACTTAACACCCAAAGACCAACAAACAAAACAATCCCCAAACACACTCCCACCCAGTAGTGGGTTTCAAAATTTTTTACTACCGGTTCTGTGGTGTGGCTTGGTGGGTATGGCAGGGGAAGGATACTGCAAAATCCCCATTTCCTCCTGATCAGCTGGGACTTGGAAGGCAGAGAATAGATGGGGTGGGGCCAGTCAGAATTTTTACCCCGGGTCTCCAAACTACTCAAAATTTTTGCTACTGGTTCTCCAGAACTGGTCAGAAGTTGCTGAAACCCACCTCTGCCCCCACCCACCACAAATTCCCCACCACCTAAACCACCCAAACATCCACACAACAGACCAAGTAATGCTGTCCAACAGCTCACTGATGGTGGCCCTTTAGTTCATTGTTGAGTGCAATTATAGCTAATTATAGGATAAAAACTATTCAGAAAATATGTGGTCCGAGTTTTAATTATTCAATTTGATGATCAAGATGGTGGGAAATTGTACCTTTACTTTTCAACAGTAAGGGTAGGATGGTGGTGGTGTTTTCCAGGGCTGCATCTTACCCACTCTTCTCATAAATCATGATTTACAAATGACACTTTCTGGGTTTATACAATGTTACACTAAAATCAAACACAGCATGGGAGTTTCCTGCGTGGGGACATTAAGCATAATATTTATAGTATAATACTTATATACTTAAAGCTGCTCTGAAAAGAACTTAACCATGTAAAACATAATCGCCATGGTGTGTGGCATGTAAAACATGATTTATAGTTCACCGACCTGTCTTTCCTACTGTAATTTAATCAGTGAAACTGCCATGCGTTACTATGCAAAGCTTCAGAACTCCAGATGAATACAAGTAACTTTCTCTCTATGAAATTGTCAGGCAGCCCATTAAGGTACATTTAAAACTGGGTAAGTTTTAACTATAACACGAACCATAAGGCATATGGAATATATTGTAATGGAAAAATAATGACTTGAAGCTACAAATTCCCTCCCCCTCACCCCTGGCTCTCCCACTTGCACAGATAAAATAAGATCAGCTTGAGTGCTGCAAGAACAGTGAAGTTTCTGCTGCCCCCAAAGCCCTTTTAATGCTGTTGCAGCAGAAACCCTGAGGAAGCCCTAATCTCTTCACATACAGATTGGTGTGGGTGTGAGTGGGGGGGGGGGGGAAGCCTCAAGGAGGAAACTTTGCTAATAAACTGAGAAACCACAGGCATTCCATCCTAATCCAGCACTTGAGTTGCCTGCTTATCTTCATGTTCCATCCTCCTCTTTAACAATGGAACCCTCAGCTGGTCTGTTGCAAAGGTGTGGCTTTGGTTTTACAATAGCAAAATAACTTTTTTTTTTTTTTACTTTGACACGCTTCCCTAAATCTTGTTCATGAATTAGGTCTCTTAGATTTCCCACCTCTCAACCCCAAAGAATCTTTTTTATTGGTCGGTGTGTGTGTGTGTGTGTGTCCTGTTTCTTGGAAAGCATAAAGAGTTGCAATTGGTGTACTCCTTTCTTTGGCAAATTTCCATGACATCTTTATCCATAAAGCTGTTTGTGTGTGTATATATATTTGTGTGTGTGTGTGTGTGTGTGCGCGCGTGTGTGTATGTAATTTATGACTAAAGAGAAAGTAAAAATAAGAATGAAAAATGGGGGCATATTTAAAAGACACTGCATGTATTTTTTTTAAAAACCTTTGTTGTTGATTACATTTTCCCATTTTTGTATTGGAATTAAGACTGAAAAGTGAGGGTTTTGACCTAAACAAAACAAGTAGGTATATTTAGCCTGAGTCCATATGCTTTAAAGCACCTCCGCTTTCCATTCACCTAAAGGGAAGTAGCATTTCTGAAACCAACAAGGACTCTTCATTTCTTTAGAAGAATTTTTAATTAAGCTAAGGGTTAATAAATATGCTTTGAGAAATAGCATTCATAATGCCAAATACAATGGCATGTGCATTGTATGATACAGTGTTTCAGCAGCCTGGATGGTAACTCCCCTGGGACTTTATTTCTATAATGTTTCATGCCATCTGCCGTTAGAGTCTTCAAAATAATGGAGCATGAAACTTTTGTATGAACATGTTCATTTCTTTTGGTGGTAAATTAGACTTGAAGTGGCAAGTCGGGGGAGACAGGTGCATTCCCATCTCCAACTTGAGACAGAACAGGCTGAAGCTGAAGTGTGCCAAGTTAGATGCACTGTTTGTCCACCAATGTTCTCCATCAATTCCTATGAGATTTCCTACCTCTAGATAGGCAGGAAGGGAAGCAGGAAGGCACCATCCCTGAAGGAATAGATTATGATTTGAGGGTCCTTGTGGATCCATGGTTTCTGATACAACAGGTAAAAGCCTATATAAAAGGGCCTTTGGTTGGTATAATATTTAAACTTTACCTGGTTCCCATCATTGAAATATATTGTACCTATACTATTGCCCTGTGTTTATAGTTATTTATAGTTTTGACCAATAAACTATACTTACATGACTACCTGCTCCATCAAGAATTACTGCAACCTCTGGATCATATATGAAAAAATATTTCTAGTGGCCACTATTCATCAATCAATGCAATCCCTGAGGAAGATACAGATAATGGAGCTGATCCAAAGAAATTTTAACCTGCTCAGGACAATGTTGTTTTATTTATTTTTTCTTATTTCACTGTTATAAAGTTTTGTTTTATGTTCTTAAGTTTATCATGGCTCTTTTAAATTTTCTACTTTGTAAGCCTCTGAGAGAGGCGTTATTTGTAGCAGTGAACAAATGCATTCCATAATTATTAGAATAATTTAATATTCCTTTCTTTTATACCTCAAAAGATGTTAAGTATGTGTGTATTTTATTTTGGGGGATTGTAGGAAAAGAGCTATATTAGTCTATTATGGCAAAAATTTGGAATTCCAGTAGCATCATTTCTGACTAATGCTTTCTATTAAAAAGGCATAAGTTTTCATGACCTGCTGTTCACTTCATCAGATGCACAGAATAGCTAGATTAGGATTCATTTGAGGTGAAGTGGGGAATTGGGGGAACAGAAGAGAAAATAGGTTGGTTATGCAGATGCAGGGTACATGCGAGACAGATTACAAATACCTTATCAATTAATAATTGTGTAAAAAATATCCATTGTGTTTGTTGAGACCTTCTGAGATATCCTGAACTCCCATATCTTTTGAATTTCTTTCCTAACAATATTGTTAAAGCCTTTGAGATCTGCTATGGAGTATCCTGGACGGTTGAAATACTCCAATTTTGCTTTGCCCTTGCTTTGAGTTGTGTTCATTAGATCTTTTCTGCAAAATCTGGTCTATTTGTCTTATGTTGAATCCAGAGGAGCATTGCTGGCAGATGATAGCATGTATCACGTTGGAGGAAGAACATGTGAAGGCACCTCTAACCTTGTGTATATGGTTGCTGGGGCTGTGATTATGCTGTTGGTGTAGATGTAGGGGCAAAGTAGATATCTGGGTTTCTTACAGTCTTTGGTTCCCAATTTGGCATCATTCTCCTGTTCCTTGTTGCTTCTGAGGATCTGCTTCAAGCATAGTCCTGCCACCCATTGCCTAAGAAAGCTTTCAGTATTGCCTGGAGCTTTATCATCCATGTGAATGCCTTGAGTTGTGATAGGTGATAATCAGTGGTATTTTGCTGCTCTGTTTCTATGATCTGCTTTTTAATATCAAGGTTGACTCAACCTTCCATCCTTCCAAGATCGGTAAAATGGGGACAATATGCTGACTCTGTAAAAGCCATTTAGAGAGGGCTGTAAAGCACTATGAATTAGTATATAAGTCTAAGTGCTATTGCTATCTCCTCCCTGGGAATAATCTGGCATGACTGTTTTGTCTATTGAACTTGATGGTGGGTGACTCAGTCTATTGAATGCCTGATTTAATTTTATCATTGATCATCTGGGTTAAGTGAGTCAGAACAAATGTAGTTGTAGTGTAAAGGCTGATTATAGATAGTAAATTAGGAGATTTGTGCTGAACGGAAGATGGACGCAAGAAGGTATGGATGGCAATCTGGAAGTTTCTTGCATATTGGGATGTTAATGTCCCATGTATCATTTTATGATGACATCAAGGATTTAAGGGTATGTGTGCATAACTTCACTGGCTATTGGGTTGGATTAGAGGAGCACCACCTTGAAGGTATCTATGCAAATATCTGGTTTTGCTTGCATGACTGTTTTAAAATGATTCAACTGATTTCTATTTGTATTCTAATTAGGTGGATGATTGTTTCACAGCTACAACCCACAGCTGCAAGACATGTTTACCCATGTTTTGATGAACCTGCAATGAAAGCTACTTTTAATATCAGCATTGTTCACCATCCCAGCTATGTTGCACTTTCCAATATGCTAGCTTTAGGTAAGTAAAGATTTAATATAAATAAAGTTTTATTTGAAGCTGAGCACAGCTCATGCTGGTTTCATGAACATACAATTTTGTAGCTTTCTTAGTAGCAATAGGGAAGTGTTAACACCGTACAGTAATTCTTCTGTAATGTTTTTTCCACTTCCAAGTTTGGACTATAGTTATGGAAAATCTTGATCATGTCCCGTCCAAGTACTAATCAAGCCCATCTATGTTTAGCTTCTGACGCCGAACTAGATGGCAATATTATGTTACCCAGGTTGTAGCAACAATAGTACCATAGCTGAACAGTAAGATGCTCTGGTTATGTAAATTCTGAATGCCAGCACATTGAAAACTGAACTATTTGCTCAGCTTTGATTTTTTTCCCCTTTATTTTCATTTGTTTTGCTTGTGCAGTGATTCACAGCAATCCCATCTGGAACAAATTCTAGTTCAGCTACAAATGAGTTCAGCTACAAATACCAAAGAAACTGTGTGGCTTGATAATCAAGTAGCACCAGATTAGAAAATTAAATATCCTTCCAACTTGATGTTGCTTATAACAAGTGTTTCCTGATGCTATACTAGAAATATAAATCGATAAGTGCAATAATATTCATTCGCTTTTGGTGGAAAATAGAAGCTAGATTTACACACTATCTACAACACAGGAAGCACTTTCATATATGATTCTGAATTCACTCGCATCTTTTGCAGATGCTTCAAATTGGCTGTGTATTTCAGAAAACTTTGAGGTTTTTTCCCCTTAAGAAGATGAAGGTTGCTTTCATGAGACATGGAGATAAGGGAGTCTGCTTTCATATTCTCACCACATCAGTGGTGAAATTCAAAATTTTTAATTACCGGTTCTGTGGGGGTGGCTTGGTGGGCGTGGTGTGGCTTGGTGGGCATGGCAGGGGAAGGATACTGCAAAATCTCCATTCCCTCCCCACTCCAGGGAAAGGATACTGCAAAATCCCCATTCCTTCCCCACTCTGGGGGAGCCAGAGGCGGTATTTGCCGGTTTTCCGAACTACTCAAAATTTCTGCTACTGGTTCTCCAGAACCTGTCAGAAACTGCTGAATTTCATCTCTGCACGATATCTACCTTGAGGTTGGCCATGATGAGAAGAGTGATTGATTCAGAATCACCTAGTAAAGTTCCATGGCTGACGGCGGATTGGAATGTTACTATCTATGTAACCTTTATATCACAGTGGCTGTCTTGGAGAAATGTGTTTATGAAGGAGGTTATGAATTTCATTGCAGAGTTTGAAGAGACTATGAATTATCCTAAGGAGTGGATTTCAATTTTAAATCTTTTCTGCTCTGAAAAAAAAAAAAGAGTATTGGTGTATTATTGGTAGAAGCAAATATATTGCACCTATCTTTCCCATCAGTATGCAGTATGATAGAAGCAAGCCACTTTCTTTGTAGCTGCATTACTGGACTTTTGAAATTTTAAGGTATTTTAGGCATAGCCCATTACCTTTGACTGACTTTATTTTTAAAAGATGATGTTTTACCTCATCTTGATAACTTGATATCTTGATAATACCTTGATAACTATAATTTTGGGATTGTTGGAAGTGGAGACCTGACATGGGCTATGGATTCCTCAATTCTGCAATGCAATATGAAGTATATGGAAAATAATAAACGACACCATTTATTTTTGAAATACAGTATTTTATGTATGTAGCTAACATAAGAATCACTTTGGCGTAGAGATTAAAGCATCAGATTAGAAACTAAAAGACAAATTCTAGATGTACAATCAGCTGGGCAACTTTGGGCAAGTCACTTTTTCTCAACCCTGAGAAGGCGGCAATGGTAAACCACTTCTGAAAAAACCTTGCAAAATAGTTGGGGACTTATGCAGGCAGGCAGTCACCAGAAGCCAAAAAGTGACTGGAAGGTACCAAAAATAATAATAATAATAAAAAAAAATAGCTAACATATATTTGGGTTGCTTCTTTATTTTTAAATAGATGTATCTGAGTATAAAGATGTGAACGACAGTGCACTGACTGCTTTGATGAATGAAACTACACCAATTAACTGGACTATCACAACATTTGAAAGAACCCTGAAAATGTCTACGTATATCACTGCTTTTGTGGTCTGTAATTTTGATTATGTCACCACAACTGAAAGAGGCAATCAGGTAAATAAAGCTCTTGAGATTACATTATACTATCAGTATGTATTTGCATTTGTGTTTAAGTTTTGTGTTACAGCAGATATTCTTAAATTTAATTGATTCAATAATACACACATACATACATACATACATACATACATACATACATACATACATACAGTATATAGATCAATGAAAAGACACAATGCAACTGTGTGCACAAAAGTATTCCTGAGATTTCCCCTTTATACAAAACATTATAATAAATAAATAGGCAGATAACATGTTGTAAAGCAAAGCACCAGCCTCTAAAATGGGTGGGCAACTATGGCAACTTCATGACCTGTGGACTTCAACTCCCAGAATTCCTGAACCAGCCAGAAGTCCGCAGATCGTAAAATTGCCATAGTTGCCCATCCCTGCTCTAAGTTCATCTTTATTTGCAGCAATTACAAAAGTCTCACTTGTGTGATAGAATTCTGAATAGTTTACCTGTGATAAACATGTTTGCATGTTTGCTTTGGGCTCAGATTAAGACCAGATGATGCCCTAACCCTGGCTCACAAATGTTGCCCCACTCTCAAGCCAAGAGATGGAAACAAATGTATTATCAGACAACACCTTCAAAACAAATGTTTAAACTTTTTTTTACTCCCTGTGTGAAAAAAATATTTTATAACAATGCAGATTAAAGTTGAACACAGCAAATAAGGACGATTACTGGTACATTTTTTTTTACTCAGCTTGAGTGTGGCAGTGAAAGAGTTAATAGTATCATAGACAGAGGAAAAACTGTAATGCCTTCCCTTCCCTTGGTGCTCTGAACAAGTGCTTATTTTTCATAATGATTAATTCAGGGTTGTCTTGCCAGTTTAAATATGATTGGATGCAAACTTGATTTTTACCCATGCTTAAGCTGGAATCATACTTTTGTGTTAAACTAACATTTAGTTTGATACAATTGCCCTATCTCCAGATCATATTTTTACAGTTTTATAAATATCATAAGGGTGAAGCCATGCAAATCTCTGGGGAGGATATTGTTCTGGAGATCTGGCACTTCAAGAGAAAAAGCACACTTCTTGTGTCCTGTAAAATGGCTCAGTTTAATCAGTGGGACTTGCAGTTTACCTATCCCACTTGATTGTACCACATGGGAAAAACAGTTGATGTAAACAGTCCTTCAGGCCTTACACCATGACGAACTGTTATTGTATCTCAACCCTTTGTAAAAGGTCTTTATGGTTCAGAGAGTTGGCTGAACCCACCTTCTTATAGTTCATTCAGTAAATAGAATTACTTATGCCTTAGTCACAATTCAGTTGGGCTACTGCAATTTGCTGTACTTGAGATTGTGCTTGAAGAATCTGCTGGAAGCTGCAGTTGGTTCAAATGGAACCAACTGTTTCAAATTAGAAACCTTTCTTGATTTCACTGAATGAAGCCATCATCACATTGGTCGTCATTTGGTTTCCAGTGCAATTCAAGCAGCATCAGAGCTTATCTTAAAAGCCCTACATTGTTTGAGACCTATATACTTGCAAGACTGCTGTCTCCTAGGGGTTTCTTTCTATGCAATAAAGTCTAGTGGAAAGAACACTTTCTGAACCCCATTCATGTGGGGTTGCCATCACCAAGGACCATGAGGTCATACCTTTTCTATTGCTGTCCTCTTTTTTGGAAAAGTGAAGGTAAGCTCCAACCTAATTAGCATTCAGGAAAACCACTAAGGCCTGATTGTTCCAGAAAGCTTTGGCGTTTGATAGTGTAGTAAGTCTTTTCTGTGTAGAAGGCAATAATAGTTGTTACTGATTTGGGGATATTTTTTTTTAAAAAATGTCCTTGTTATTCTTTTTGTATTACTTGTGAGCCACTCAGAACTTTTTTGCAATTGAGCAACATAAAATCACAGTAAACATAGTCAGTCATGTGTTGTTCTAAGCTAAAATGTGAGTATCCTAATTTTAAATTAAATACTGCACAAGTCAGCCATTGTGGTTTGCAAACCTTAATATATAGCTTACTATGTTATGTGAAACCAATCAACGGTTGTCTTTATTCATTTACATTTATATATTATCAAATTTGCATGCTTTCTGACTCCCAACAACTCTGGGTACCTCACAATAGTTAAGAAAAGTGCAATGCTAACCAAATAACAATAATAGGAGGATAAAAATGCTAAATCCAGTCTAAACATATGGCTGACTGTATGATAAAACTAAAAGGTATTAGAAGATATGTGTACAGTATAAAACAGACATATACTAAGGGAAAAGATAAGCTAATTATGGGCTTGATTCTTACTATCTGAAATAATACTTCTTTCTAATAGATACGTATTTGGGCTCGGAAGGGTGCAGTTAAAAAAGGATTTGCTAATTATGCTCTAAATATCATAGGGCCAGTGTTTTCATATCTGGAAGACTTACTAAACATCAGTTATCCTCTTTCAAAAACAGGTATGCTAGCATGTTAACTTTTAAAAATGTTTAAAAAACTATTGTGACTTGCAAACATAGTAGCTTCAAAAATACTGTTGTATCTTATTTCTGGCCTTAATTTAGTAATTTGTAATGTAACTATGAAAAAGCCTGCATTACTATTGTTCAGAAAGTCATTGGTTCTTTGACATACCACATTTTATTATATTGTATTTGGAATATTTATTACCTTGCTTCTCTGTTTAAAAATGGTTAGAATGACTTACAATAGATCATACAAAGGTTTTTCAGACAGACAGTACACAATTGCCTATGGAGGGATCCCCAACCCGTGGTCTGTGGCTCAGTTCCAGGCCGCAGCCTGTTGAAAATTGGGCTGTGGAAGTGGTGGGCTAGTCGCACACGTTAAGCTGCATTTGTGAAAGCGGTGTATGCACAAAACCATTCCCTCTCCCTTCCCTGCCTCTACCAGTCCACCAAACCAGAAAAGTTGGAGGTTGCTGGCCTATAGAGTATCACCACACTTGTGGGAGTTTGATATTTCTGGATTACCAGAATGTTTAAAAAATGGCCAGATAGGGCAGCAACTACAGTTCTGCTCATCAAGAAAGGCTCTGTTGAAAGATGGGGGTGAAATACCAGGCCTTCCTATAATAGTCTCCATTTTATGGGGTACTGCACTCTTATCCAGGGGTTCCCAATCTTGGCAATTTTAAGATGCATGGACTTTTAACTCCCAGAATTTCCCAGCCAGCCTCCATGGAGCTCCCATCTTGTTACAATTACTGTTACATTTCAATGTCTTTTAGTTCCAGCCGACTGAATGTGAATAACTTTCATTTGGGGATTTTTAAAATACTGCTCTGGATTTAGCTGTTTATTATTAAGGGAATGTTTTGTTTTGTTTTTGTTTGATGTTGTAAGCTGCCCAGAATCCTTTGGGGTTGGGTTATAAATACTAGAAAACACACAGACAAACAAACAAACTGCCCAGTTTTCTGGGATTCATGTTGTCAATGTCTTTAGGGGACTATGGAAACTCATGATAATATGTATCAAATTATTACATGAAGCTTCTTGTAGATGCTAAATATTGTTTATAATGTCATCCCTTCGAGATAGGCTGTCAAGAAAAATACACAACAGGATTCCAGGAATCTAGTAAGGTAGAATAATAGAAGTTTGGAAGCCTCCCCAAGTTTGTCCCATCTTATACAAAACAAAATCAAGGCATTATTTTTAGTGTCTTTCTCATGCTTTCCCCTTTCTCAGAGCTGTAAACTTTTTTGAAAGTTTTCTTAAAGGCTTGCTAATTAGCATTTAGCAACAGCAATAGCACTTAGACTTATATATTGCTCCATGGTGCTTTAAAGCACTCTCTGAGCAGTTTAAAATGTCAGCATATTGCCCCCAACAATTTGACTCCTTGTTTTACTGACCTTGGAAGGATGGAAAGCTGAGTCAACCTTGAGCCGGTCAGGATCGAACTCCTGCAATGGGCAGAGTTAGCCTGCATTCTTACTACTGCACCACCACAGCTCTTCTCCTTTCCTATCCAAAAGGTCAGCTCTGTATTTCTTCCCATAGATTTACTGCCTGGATTTGTACAGAAAGATTCTGAATTTGGAATTCCCTGTGTTCATTCAACAGGGGTCATTTTAGGTTGTTATAAATGAATAACGCCCTATTTTCAGATGTAGAGTACATACTTCGTGTATAAATTTCAATCCCAGATTGAATCTTTGGCATCCCTGAAAAGGCTTGGGGAGGTTTTGGGTTGAAACACTGTTGAGAGAATCAGTAATTTCAGACTCTTGTGTGAATGCATGTAAGACATTCTTCTAAGTTGCTGTGTAAATATTAATGTGAGTGACTATGTGTGGACTTAGCATTGTGGTTTATAAATCTTGCTTTGTGGTTTATCACTATGTGTGATGAGCCCTCTAGACATTGTTGAACAACTCACTCATACTCACTTAGCATAATATGTGAATCTTGCCAGAGAAAATAAAATAAACATATTTGAAATAGAAATTGGCTAAATTACATGAAAGTAGCATTTGTAGATTTAAGTGAATGATACTATTAATCTTGAGTATCTTGTGATATGTAAAGAGGATTTACAGTATGTAATATGTTAAGTGTCAGCATGTCAAGATGCATTTATCCTAGTGCTGACATAAGAAGGAGAATGCAAGTGTCTGCAACGGGACGGTTGCCTTTCACCTACTTATTTTAGCTGGAGATAATGTCCCCTAGGAGATGGATGGGAGGGGGGAAATTCTTTGAACTGGAGCAGTAGATTAGGGGTAAATGATTGGGAAGATGGCCAATGAATGCAGAGGAGTGGGGGAAGGAAGAGGAGGAATTTTGGGTCAGCACGTCAGTGCTGGCTGCATGAAGTCAGTGTAAAAGTTGCTGTGCTAAATAAAATGGAAGTTTGTTTCAAAAAAGACTTTGTTTGAGACGCAATTTATTTGAAGACGGCCTGAAAACCTGACATTAAGAATTAAAATGTTAAAGTGATTCTTTTTATTCAAATTCTATTAGATTTTGTTGCAGTACCTCTTATGAATCACGGTGCAATGGAAAACTGGGGACTAATGATTTTCCATGAAACGTCCTTATTGAATGATCCAGAGGATAAATACGTAGTAAATAAAATGCAGATTTGCCGAATTGTTGCTCATGAGGTAGCACACCAGGTATGCAGTAAAATATCCTGTACAGTATTTCCATTGATCATTACAATCCAAATGTTACAGTGGGTGGGTTGCTACCGGTTCGCCCCAGTTTGGGCGATCCAGTAGCAACAGTGGGAGGCTCCGCCCACCTGCCCGAACGCAATCAAATACGATCTGTGCATGCACAGAAGTGGTGCGTGCACGAACCAGTAGCAAAGGTAAGCGAAACCCACCCCTGAAATGTTACTTCCTAATTACAGACAGGCCTTGATTTACAACTATTCATTTAGTGACTGTTTGAAGTTACAACAGCTGTTTCAATTACAACTGAAAAAAGTGACTTATGACCGTTTTCCCCCCACATTTTTCCCCCACATTTATCATTGTTGCAGCATCCCCATGCTCACATGATCAAAACTTGGGTGCTTGGCAACTGGCATGTATTTATGACAATTATACTGGCCTGGGGTCATGTGATCACCGTATGTAACATTCCCAGAGGGCTTCTGACAAGCAAAGTCAGTGGGGGAAGCTTAACGACCAACTGATAACATGTAACTGTTAAATGATTTGCTTAACAACTGTAGGGGGAAAAATCGTAAAATGAAGCGCAACTCATTTAACTGCTGTGTTCCTTAGCAACAGAAATTTTGGGCTCAACTGATTTGGAGAGTAACAAATTGGGAATGTTGATCAAGCACTGTAAACTAGTGTTTCTCAGCTTCAGCAATTTTTCGATGTTTGGACGCCCAGATTTTCTAGTATGTTGGGGAATCCTGGGAGTTGAAGTCCACACGTCTTAAAAGCTGCTCACATTAAGAAACACATATTAATCAGGAAAAAAAAACATTATGCTGGAAGGAGAGAAGGATTCTACAAGAATGAAAGAAGCAGTTTCAAAGCTAGTTTTAAAAATATTTGCTTGTATTAACAGCCTCATAATAAATAGCATTACGTATTATGTATCCTAACATACAACTAAGTTTCAAAGTACGTATATTAAATGAGAGGCCAAACAGAAAGAAATATAATATTAACAGTCAAAATAATAATATAAAACTAAAATAAAAGCAATAAAAATATCTGGTTGTCAATAAATAATTGAAAAACACCTCCACAGGATTATTATTGCATAGAATTAATGAAACTACTAACAATGTATTGTCTTGATACAGATACACCAAATGAAATAGACTGGTATTTTCAGTGAGATAATTTTGACATTCTTTACTGTACCCTGGAAAAGGATCATTGATATCTGGTAGATTACAATAAATCAAAAAACATTTTGCTCTCTGTGAAGCACAGACAGTATAGCACGTAGGCAACAATCATTGGAAAAGTGGAAGGACTGTTTACATTAAGAGAGGGAGTCTTTGTTTCTTTTGTGACTTCTTCATCCCAAGCTCATTAAGAAGCTGTAGCAAGTACAGGCTACTAAAACGGATCTGATTTTTTAAAAACTATATAATTGCAAGAATGAATGATATATGAAATAGATCAGGACTGTTTTTGTAGGACCAAAAGAATAAAACATTACCATATGGAAATTAAGTCTTAAATCTTAAGAAATTAGTGTCTTTCTTGAAGACACTAAAGAATCATTAATATATAAATTCTAATCCTGCTATTTGATAAAAAAAAACTAAAACCGAAATGATTTCCAGTTCCTTCAGATTAAGCAAAGAAGATCTTGGATAAAATTAGATACAGGATTAATTCCTTGGGTGCTGTTAACTTCCCTGTGTTATATACATGTATATACATACATACGTGTGTGTGTGGGTGGGTGTGAGTGTGTGCCAATGAATTTCAAAAAAAATTACTACCAGTTCTGTGGGTGTGGCTTGGTGGGCAAGGCATAGCTTGGTGGGTGTGGTAGGGGAAGGATACTGTAAAATCTCCATTTCCTCCTGATCAGCTGGGACTCGGGAGGCAGAGAATAGATGAGGGCGGGGCCAGTCAGAATTTTTACTACCGGTTCTCCAGAACTGGTCAGAGCCTGCTAAAACTCACCTCTGGCGCACGTGCATGCGTGCATACACACACACACACACACACACACAGCACCTGGAGTAGCATTTGAAGAGATTTATGTAGGAATATAGAAACAGCAACTTGAGTGGTGTGGTACCCTAGTGGTGAAGTCACTCACCTTCTACTCAGAAGGTTGACAGTTCAATCCTAGGTAGTGGCAGATGTTTTTCTTCTAGGATGCAAAGAAAAAAAATATATGCTGGGAGCTCCATGTGATGTCAGAAAGGGCATCCAATCAGTAAATGCTCAACTCCATCTGGTCACCCTAGCTCTACCCTGAATTAACGGATTACAGGGCTCTAAAAAGGGATATTTGGAATAGCAGCTTGAGGAGGAGAGGGAAGCAATTTTTGCCCTGACTGTAATTAAATTTATCTTGTCAGTCATGGTTTAGAAACTGATAATTACATTACAAAAAGTGAGTACATTCATTGACACCCTAGTTTTGCATTTATGGGACCCTTTCAGATAGTTGCACTGGATTATGTAAGAAAAGCCTAGATTTCTTTTTCTTTAATTCCCTATTTTAATCCTTGTGGCATCTTTATTGTATTTTCTAAATCTCCTATCAACCTATAGATATTGCACCACTCCTTTGTGACAAGTTGTGCCCATTAAGTAAAACCTTGAACTGCTCTCTTGCCAGATGAATGAGAACAGCAGTTGAAAGAATGCATTTAAAGACTCTTCCTCCCCTCCCTTCCTATTTTAAGTGGTTTGGAAACCTAGTTACCATGGATTGGTGGAACGACATATGGCTTAATGAGGGATTTGCAACTTACTTTGAACATCTAGGTCTAGACTACATTGAAAATATCATGCCACTGGTAGGTGTGAATTAAACCAACCTTTCCTGTGTATCTTTCATTCAAACTCTGCATTTACCTTTAAGTGCTTTTAAGTTAATGAAAACTATGTAATAGAGGCTCTACGCTCGGAGAGACCTCTGTATTCAGGCTACTTTATTTACTATGATATTAAATGGTGAATTCTTCCTCATTCTACCAAGAGCCTTGGTAGTACAGTGGTCTAAGGCACCCTGTTATTAAGCTGGTTATTAAGACCAGCTGCCTGCAATTACTGCAGGTTCAAATCTCGCCAAGGCTCAAGGTTGACTCAGCCTTCCATCCTTTCTAAGGTAGGTAAATTGAGGACCCAGTTTGTGGGGGCAATAAACTGACTGTGTATAAATATACAAAAGAATGAAGGCTATTGCTTAGCACATTGTAAGCCGCCCTGAGTCTCCGGAGAAGGGCGGCATATAAATCAAAAATTAAAATAAAAAAAAATGAGAGGTTTTCAAACAGCAGCTGAATGCTCTTCTGTTACGGTAGCAATATTGTATTTGAATCTATATTGAGCAGGGAATTGGATTAGCTTCCTTCCAACTTTATAATTCTATAAGTATGAGCTTTGTCATAACTTTCTCCCTGCTTCTGTCACTGCTGAGTTGCTAGTGGTATGCGAGTCCTTATCTGCAGCCTGATACAATGCAAATATAAGCTTGCTATACCTAACTTAGTTTTGTAAACTTTACCAATTTGCACATGCATTTTTGCATCAAGTACCATAACTGATTGCTTAACAAGTAATTTATAGCCATGGTGTACTAGTACTACTCCTTGTCTTAAATCACATATATTCTGTCTGTATACACTGCTATTTAAAGTGTATACAGCACTTGTAAAGCAGCACTTAATAGATTAGAACTAATTTATGCTTCAGAGGTGAACGTGAAGGCTTTACTAGATGGTATAATAGGTTCAGTGAATAAGTGGATTGATTGAGATTGATAGAATTAACATTTATGCTTCCTTTCTGTATAGATTTCAGTTTAAGCAAGTTTTTTTGAGTTTGATATGAACAAGATTAATGATATTAGAAAGGAATGCAGAGAGAACTAAATACATTTACGAATGTTACCATAGAATTCTAAATTTGGGTTTGCATGAGCAAAATTAACATTTTATGGTTATTTGCAGGATAAACTTTTTAGCAAGCAGCTTACACTACCTATGTTGGATAAAGATAATTGGGAATTAAATCAGTCTATATCAGATTCAGACACCCATCAAACAGATTCATTATTTGAAGTGTTCAATGCAGTCACTTACCATAAGGTAAATCATATATTATTGTAAATTTCATTTATGATTCAGAAGAATCTTTTTACAGTGCATGAGAAAAGTAAATTATTCTCTTGATGTTATAAGACAGAGTTCCCCAACCTTTCTGGGTTGGCGGCCTGGAATGGGGGGAGGGGAAAAAGAGGGGATGATTTTGTGGGAGGGGCAAATGCATGTACACACACGTGAAAGTGCTCATGACGTTCATGGTGATGTGAGCGCAAGTGGGGCTGCAAGTGTTCATGATGAGACTTGCACAAGTGGGGCCGTGAGCGCCCGCAATGAGACTTGTGAGAGTGGGGCCAGCGTCGCCCATGACAAAGCTCATGTGAATGGGGCTGTGGACACCCGTGACGATGCTCACATGAGTGGGGTTGTGCACGCATGCAATGGCATATGCACCGGCCAGCCACTCACATGGCCCAGTGGCAATTAGCCAATGGCCAACTAGTGGGCTGTGGCCCACAGGTTGGGGACCCCTCTTATCAGATATCATAATCTGCATGAAAGTGAAACAATTTTAAATTTAGTGTGTACCATTTTCATTCAGTGTAGGTGTTTAAAACATTTTGAATGTATGTAAGTAAACATCTTCCTAAGTTTATTAATGTGTCTATTTTAGGGGGCTGTTATCATCCGGATGCTTTCCAACTTTATGACTGAAGGATTATTTATCAAAGCAGTGAATGTAAGTTTAGAAAATATTATAAATTTCTTATAATACATTGCATTATATTGAAACTTTACAAACTAACCTATAATCATATTCTTGTTTTACTACAGTCATATCTGAGTGCATTTTCCTTTTCCAATGCTGTCCAAGATGATCTGTGGACTCACATTCAAAAGGTGGTTAAATTTACAATGCATTTGCTAGACTTTTGATTTTAATGAATTGGGAATTGTTGGCTGTAAGTAAAAGGAATTTAAACTTCAGTCATGACCATTGGATGCTCTATTCTCTGAAGTTAGCATCACCAACTGTTGCTGACAATTCTCCTTGAATCCTTAGTTTTCAGTTTTGGCCTATGTCTGGACAGTTGTTGTTTGTGGTCTTTTTAATGTGGCAATTAATGTATAGCTAACTTAAAACAAGTTTGTCAGTATTTGTATATGTCCACACATTTATTTCTCTTCGGAATAATCCTCATCTTCTGCAGGCAGCCAGGTACTCCATCTAGGAAGCAAAAGTACATTATAAAAAATGTTTGAAGTACATATCAATCCTATGGCAGATTTCTGCTATAACTTAAGATATAGGACAGTGATGGCGAACCTTTTAGACACCGAGTGCTAGAACTGCGCACAAGCGCATGTCCAAACAGAAAGGTGTGCACAGGCATGAAGGTGTGCATGCGGCAACACGTGCGTGCACATGCGTGGACGGGCATGCATGTGCATGTGTGGACATGCACCAGTGCAGACATGCACACAGGTGCAGCGGAGACCCGAAGACCAGTTGGCCGGCAGGCGGCGGGGCATCCCACCAGCAGTGTGGCAAAAGGTAACATCTTTTTCTTTTGTGAGCTTCTGTTTTATTGTTTGCAGGGAAACAGAAGCTCATGAAAGAAACGCCACGGAGATCTGACCTGGGGTGATGGCGTGTGTGCCGGCAGAGAGAGATTTGTATGCCACCTCTGGCACGCCTGCCATAGGTTCGCCATCACAGATATAGGAGATAAAATACCTATAGGAAGAAAAATGCTCATTTGCACCAGATATTAATTGCTATGCCCATGTGACTGAAAATAGGTAGATAAGTTTTGCTACCTAACATGCATAGGAAAAAAAATGGTATTAGATAAAATTAGAACTGCCTTAATAATATCTGGGGAAGTTAATTCTGCCCGGATATAATGAGGAGTTTAGTTCCACAGAGGAAACTGAATCTAAGAGCCAACATTGGCTCATTGACAATCCCATTATCCAGACCCCCCCAAAAAAATAATGATAATGAGGGGAGGGGGAGATTATAGTTGATTTTAGTAGGGCTTTGTAGAAAGCAAAAGTTTCTGGATTTCCTTCTTAGCCATTTCTTCATCTTCTAAGTCCCAGCTGAATTTTCAAAAAATGTTCCTTCAAGCTTAATTTTTTCTGGCTTTTATATATGCCTCTCAGATTGTATTAATTCTAGTTTTTATTTAGCCTCTTGTTAAAATTGTTCCTTTTGTAAGAGTAAGGAACACATGTCTGTCATGTGGCAGTAAGATTTATGTTCCTCTGATAATATCTCCTTATTTATTATTTATTTATTTATTAGTTTGATTTATATGCCGCCCTTCTACGGAGACTCAGGGCGGCTTACAATGCGTTAAGCAATAGCCTTCATACTTTTGTATATACCTGCTTAGTAGGGCTTTCGCTCCCCACCAAGCGGTGTTCTATTTTATACAAAGTCAGCTTATTGCCCCCACAAACCAGGTCCTCATTTTACCCACCTCGGAAGGATGGAAGGCTGAGTCAACCTTGAGCCTGGTGAGAATTGAACTTGCAGTAATTGCAGGCAGCTGGTAGCTAAATACTACTTTAACAGTAGTTTAGTCCACTGCTCCTTATGATGGGCAGTGCCATGTATTCATTGTTGTGTTAGTGTGGGGACTGGAGCAACTATACTGACTTTACCCATGTTTTGCTCTCCCAGTCTTAATATTGCACACATATTAGTACTTGGAGTGTTTCTATTGTATTGGATGTGAATAATAGCATGGAAGCCTGTTTTTAAGCTTTGAGACTCATGAAGATCCTCAATTATTTTTCTAGGATTTCTTCTGTGGGTGTACTAATAAAGGAGAATATTTGTAGCTTGGGGTTAAAATGAGGGATTGCTTGGTACTCTCCGAGTTTGGTTGTTTTCTTGCAGACATTTCATTACTCAAACTAGGTAACATTATCAGTGCATCATCACAAGAAAACAATCAAGCTCAGAGAGCACCAAGGACCCCTCATTTTGTGGGTGTAACAGATAGGGAAATGCACAGTTTATAAAGCTGTGTAATATTGTATATGGAAGCGTTAAAATACTTAATAGAGCATAAATATACCTTTGACCTGCACAACAATGACTGAAAATTTATAGAGCTTAGATAGTGTCTGAGAGTGGTTTGTCATTGGATTAATCCTTGTTTCTGATTAGTGGTTAGTAATTATAATTGTGTTTTTGTATAGTGACTACTAGGTGGAACAATTTTAATCTGAAATACAGGTTAAACATAGTAACTTTAAACTGACTTACAGAAATATTCCATTAGCTTATTCATGTTTAGCTGATTTGTATCCTGCTTTTCAAAGTGTCAGAATCCTTTTCCAAATATCTGTCCTAACAACATCAACCTTATGTTGTAGCTTGGGTAGAGAAACGCTGCTACATCACCCAATGAGTTTCTGCAACTAAGTATAGAACTTAACCTCACATTTTGAAGCAATACAGTCATACTGAAGCATATAATTTGCCTGCATCACATTGGTCCTTAAATATACCTTTTTGTGCCACTAATAAATCAGTACCAGTTCATTTGATTGGTACCAATGAAGAATATACCCTTGTAACTATGCATTACAATTAACACAGAGCTTGGCTCTTTATTAAGCAAGATAGAAGTCTGAGTCATAATGAAATTTCAGAACCTTGGATAGTTCCAATAATCAACTATCCTCTGATAATATATTGAGCTGATTTAGATTACCATATCAAGATTATGTTCCTTTTTTGAAGATCAAAGTGTTGATCTTCTAATTTGGAGATTAGCCTTTTATCAATTTTCCATCAGTATCTTGTGTGATGTTGCAGTTCTGCAGAAAGTCTGAATCTCTGCCAGTACCTAAGGAGATTCTTGCTTAAGGGTGCTTTCTTTGACCAAAGTCTAACTCACAGCCATTGATTCAGCATCTAATTCAGCACTTTCACTGCTTTCATATTGCAAGAGACATGATTGATGAAAATTGATCTGCAACATGGACTTGATCTCAAAACTGCTGGGATCTGAATGATTCATGTTTCTTGAAAGTTTCTATATATATGTATTTAACATAAAAACTGTATTTTAATCCTAAACATTTTTTGGAAGGTAATAGATGAGCAAAATGACTTCCAGTTGCCAACTTCAGTAAAAATAATAATGGATTCTTGGACCTGCCAGAAAGGCTATCCACTCCTGACAGTAGATTTCTCAACTGGCAATATTAGCCAGGAACCATTTTTTGCTGAAAAAGGAGAACACAACTCAGAGTACGTGTTTTTTTAAGTAATAATAAGAAAAATGTAAAGACTTTAAATAGAGATTGAGTGAATGTGTAAAAATAGGGTGCAAATACTAGTTGATGTATTTGGTGCCATTCCAAAAGATTTGGAAAAGTATTTGAACACAATAGGAATGGATAGAATCTCAGTTCTCATCAATTAAAGAGGTTGCATTACTTGTAACAGTGTGTGCAGGTTTGTGTGTGTGTGTGTGTGTGTGCGTAGACAGACAGGCAGACAAAAAGACATATATATTAACTTTCCTAGATCCTTAGGAAAGATCCAATAATCAAAATTACTAAATCAGTCCGAATTGTGTGGTAAACCATATGTAAATACAGATAATGGTAATAAGTTTTGTGTGAATTTTTAAAATATATGATCTGCAGGTTTTCAACGATAGAAATAAGTTGAGTTGGCACACTTTTCCAGTACAAACTATCTTTTTCTTTGAACACAATTTATTATTTTCTTCAGCTCTCAAATCTGCAAACTATGATTTGACCTTACCCTCTGAAACAAAGTTTGAAATTTGTTTCTCAGACATTACTTATAAATGCCAAAATGAATCTTATATTACATCTGAGCAGGAATATGGGATACTTGGCTATTCAGCTGATTTTTTTTATTGTACAAACCATAAATTGGAGAATCACCCAAACTGAGTTGATTCATTATGCTTTAATCTGTATTAAGTTATTAGAGGGAATGTGAATTAGAAATAAAGTAAACAATGGAGTTTAGAGCCAGGACTTAATCTGAGGCTAATATTATCTATAATACCATTTATTTTTTAAAGAAAATATAAGCATAAATATCCTTCAGCTGTCATGTTCTGGAATGTTTATTACTATCACAGTCCTTATTTTCAGCAGCTTGCATTGAATGTGTAAAAATTTATATGAGAATATAATCAAATATCAGTCACTGACTATGCTGGATGGCCTTAAGGAAGTTACAAAAGAGGTTTTCTAATATTCTAGCTGAAAATATAGCATTTTTAAACAAGCAGCTTATGTAGTTGGGTTGAAACCTGGAAAAAGCTGGCATTAATAGATTTGTCTCAGCTATGTCATTGGAATGCAGCATGTACTCAGCTGAACAAGAGTTAAAATTACATAGTAGAGCTTTCTAATCTTTGCAATGTGCAAATGTGCAATGAGAACAGGTTTTGTTGAATCAGTACTATTTATTTCCATACAAGGAGCATGACTTAGAAAAGAAACTTTTGAAAAGAGAAATCCATGAGCATAATTGTGCATTCCATTGTCAGGTATAAAAAGTAGAGGTTTCTTATACACTTATAGATATTACTCTACTAGAAGTAAGAAAGCCCCATGCATATTTGCATTATATTAGCCTTAAATGTAGATGAAATCCATTGAATTCAAGTACACACAAAAGTTCCAGTTCACAGTTGCACAGTGGAGTATAAGTTATGCAGCTTTTAGGTATAAACAGAAATTGCATTGCACATTTGAACTATAAAAATTTCCCCCCCAAAAAGAGAGTTTTTTTCTCAGAACTTTTTTTTCTTAATTTATGTAATAGCATTTGAATGGTGTTTTACTTTGGCTGATGGATTAATTATCAATTGTTATTTTTATTAAGTAGCACGTGGATTATTCCTATTTCTTGGATAAGAAATGGAACATTACAACCTTTAGTATGGCTTGATAAACGTAGTAGTAAGTATGTTTTCCTAAATTTAAGAAAGTCTTTACTGTCTGGAATATATGATTCTGAACTTTTGAAAGATGCAAATTATAGCCAAAATATCGATGATGAGTTATTGTAATTTCCTTTGCTTTCCATATAGGTTCTTTAACAGAAGAATTGGGGAGGTGGGGGTGGGGAACAGATATAATGAACAATATGGGCATGTTAGAGAATGGCAACAAGAGTTTGATTAAAAACCATTTGAGACTCCTAGTAGAAAAGAAAGTGGAAGGCAGCTGAGAAGAGAATTAAATTGGTGATTAGAAAAGCACTTTAAGAGAGTAAAGCTTAGTTTAGGACAGATATAGTGAATCTCTGTTCTATTGTGTTAGTACAACCAAGGAACTGTGGCAGGTCCTTTTCTTACCAAAAGCCAATTCTACCATCTTTGGCTAGGAAAAGGGAAAATGGATGCTGTAATCAGGAATCCATTTATTATACTTTTACATCTTTCAAAAGATGGAAAAAGAATTTCAGTACTCTAAACAGATCCAAATATTTTAGCGTGATATGATTATGAAAAAAAATTGTATCAATGACTTTCATAAATGTTATGGTTTTGAGAACTATACAGTATATGTGTGGGCAATGTGATAAGCTACACTTGGTTCATTTGCTTCTTTTTCTTACTTTAGAAACTATGCAACATGTTATCATGAGCATACGTAGATTTTCAGAAGGGCAGTATTTTAAAAAAATGTGCTAAGTTTTCTTCCTTTTATGTGCTTACAGAAATATTTCCTGAAATGAAAATATCAGATTCAGCACAAGATTGGATTGTTTTAAATGTGAATATTAGTGGTTACTATAGAATCAACTATGATCAAAACTATTGGAGAAGATTAGCCAAAGTGCTTGAAGATGATCCAAAGGTATGATAGTTTTTAATCATGAGAATGTAGATGATTATTATATGAATGATTATGTTATTCTGCAGTACAGCATTTTCTCAAGGCACATTGGATCATGATTTTCCTTCATGGTGTTCCATCACTGGAGGTTTTAAAGAAGAGATTGGACAACCACTTGTCTGAAATAGAATAGGGTCTCTTGCCTGAGCAGGGGGTTGGACTAGAAGACCTGCAAGGTCCTTTCCAATTCTGGTATTCTGTTATTTAGCTAATTCTGGTCATAGAGAGAGCCATATTCCTAAAGTAGATGAGCCTAGGGATAATTCTTGGAATGTCTGGGAATTTTAGGAGTCAAAGAGCACAAGCATTTGCAAGGTTTAAGGTATCCATTTTACTCTTAGTCTCCATTCCTATACAAAAATGTCAATGTTTGGTATGTATTAAATCCATATTCTAAAAGGCAATGAAGAATATAATCTCTTCCAAAATGCCTTAAGTGAAAGGAAAGTTCAGAAGGATATAGTCCTGATAAGGATCACTGAATATAATTTAGGTATTGAGGACATGAATTAAACTAGTATATTGTTTTATACAACCATGGATTTGGCTTCCTACATGTCTATGGGAGGAAGGAAAAAAATGAATCAGGAAAAAAAAGATACAAATATACTGATGGCTTTTATACACCCATTTTAATTATATTGTTCCAGCTGGCATGTCAAGGTCTCAGCAGTCTGGCACGTTTATCTTACTGGAATGAGGAAATGGGTAGCCTATATTCTTTGTGCATGTATGTAATTTAGAGAGTCCATCGATTGGTAAAGTTTAGGAGATATTTGTGAATGACTAGCAATATTACTAGTTCAAATTGGAACCTGTCATATATATATATTTAAAATTCACATTGAATTGCAGATCAATATAATAAATGTTTTTAGGAATCTGAAGTAGTACTGCAGATACTTTGAACTATTACTGTATAAAGACTTGAAAATAACAGTTTTAAATAAACTGTAATACATGGGTATCTTTGCAGGCTATTCCTTCTGTCAGCAGATTACAGTTAATGGCAGATGCCTCTCATTTGGTTTGGTAAGTTATGCACCATAGTTGTTTTTTCTACATTTATAATTGAGTTCTGAATTCATTCTGCATCTGATCTCCTTTAAAAAAATCTGATATTTTTTCCTCTACACTTTCTTCTTGCACCATCTTGAGTTTCAAGCGCAGGTAGCACAATGTACCACATTCCATGGATCCTTTGATCAGCTGGATTAATCAACAAGAGTTGAGGAAAGAAATAGGGCTTTGAAATACCTTTCCTAACCTTGGTGACTAGAGAACTCAGCACTATGAAAGGCTCCCTTAATCCATGCCCTTTCCCTTAATTTAGGCCCTGAACCAGTGTGAATCCACAAATAGAAGGGATACATGGGAATGTGAACCAACTTCTGTAGCCACATGCAATTTCTTCTTACCACTTTACTTAGGAGATTGCACCTGTGCACAGGAAAGGTGCACATTATTTGCAGGCTGGCAACCCCTACAGAAATTTTTGCAAACCACACAAGTGCAAGATGATGTATAGGGCTACTGTACAAGCATTTATTCAGAAAAAAACATTTTTGTACAAATATTATGAATGCATAGGAGAAAGGAAAAAGAAATCTTTAACAAGGTTGCTGGGAACAAGGAAAGTTTATTATTATGTCTTTACCCACTTTTCTGCTACATTGTAGTTTTTTCACTATAAAGGGGTAGCAACAGCCTGTAGTTGAAAACAGGTCACCAGCACTGGGGGAAAGGACAGAATTGCTACAGTTCCTTGGGCAGCAGAAAGAGTGACAAAGAGTAATGGGTTAGCCAGTTATCTTCACCTTTACATTGAATGGCCTCTTGCCTGATCACACCCAATATACATGTTTACAATATATTCCAGGTTGTTTATTGTAGGAACAGATCCCTCATAATTCAGTCGGTTTACTGTTCAGCCTGTGTGGAGCTGATGCTATGTAATGCAGTCCTAAATATTTATACTCTGATGTAAATCTCATTTAGGACTTCCTACTAAAAGTATTTAAGGCTGCAGCCTTGGCCGTGCACATGCCTCTCCTGCCAACCATTCTTACTGGCATTTTTGAATCTGCAGTCCAAATGTGTACTTTCTATCCTGTCTCTATCCTGTTTCTTGCTCCTGCCCTTTTTCTGCTCCAGCTCTGACCCCAGACCACCTGCCTTCTCTGCCCTCCGCCTGCTTCCTGATCCAACTCAAGTCCTCGCCATTCATAAGCTTTTGAACTGTGAGTATATCTTGAATTCTGCCAGTGTTTTCTTCTACCTGGCTACTGACTCAGAAGCAAATTAAAGATGAAGTTAAGAGATATTTCCAGATGGACAACTCCTGAACTAATGAAATATATTGTGTTCTTGTCCTATCTTTTCGTCACTATGGCTTTTATGCTGAATGTCTCAACTTGGGAAAGGTTGTGATAGATAATGATACCTGGACATCTCTAAATTCTGTGAATGGGACAGGGAAACTGCCTAATACATTTTATCTCTGCAAAGACCTCTAGTGTCATTACGGTTTTGAAGGCAATTTTCAGACGCAATGCATGTATGAAGTGGTGCTCTGTGTAGCATTCTGAGGTTGACTACAATCAAATAAATTGGGAAGGTGTTTTGCAGAATTTCTTACATGATTTTATTTACAAAAGGTTATTGTATCAGTAGTAAGGTTATCAACCAGGGGTGAAATCCAGCAGGTTCTAACAGGTTCTGGAGAACCATAGCGGAAATTTTGAGTAGTTTGGAGAACTGGCAAATACCACCTCTGGCTGGCCCCAGAGTGGGGTGGGAATGGAGATTTTGCAAAACCCTTACCCTGCCACGCCCACCAAGCCATGCCCACAGAACCGGTAGGGAAAAAATTTGAATTTCACCCCTGTTATAAACTACAAGCAGTTGTTTTATTTCTGCAATCCCTATATTTTTCATTTGTGCTTTTGTTTTCCTTGTTCCCAATGCTGTTGCTGCTTTCCCCCAGGTCTTCATCAAAATATTTGTATATATCTTAGTGTTTACAGATCAATAATCCCATTCGTCCCAAAAGTTTTCTAATGTAGCAAGCACTGAAAAAATATGTAGAACAGGACAAAATTGATTCCAAAAGTTGTCAGGCCTCTTTGTTTTACAACTCCTTTCCTTTTAAAAGACAGTTCTCTGGTATAGGTTTTGATGGCTTTTAAAGTCATGCCCCGGTGAAACCATATTGTCTAAAAGGAATATTCATTTCAGCTCATTTCAGTTAACATGACATGGAAAGTTAGCTTTGTATATGTTCATGTGTTTTAAAGCCTTTTTTTCCCAAATGCCATTTGTTGATTATAATATCGTTGAAGCTAATTATAAATGCACTCTTTTTCAGGATTTAAAAACTCTCCTAAACTATGGTAGGACTAGCAATCTCTGCTAATTACTAAAATTTCAGAAAGTACAAATGTTGATACCTTCCAAAGTGAACTATATATATGTTACTCCTACCAAACAGCATTTTTTATGTCACTGCTCTTATTTATATGTTCTTGTGTATACGTGTATGGATTCTGTTTTACAAACTTTATAAGCCCATGTAATACTTGTTCATGGTTAATATATATAGAAGGCTTGTCTATAGGATTCTAACAATGCTATTCATCTAAAAGAATATTAATGAGATTTATTGAAAAGTAGTTGAGAACCACACAATTAAATATGACTTCTTTTAAATAGGTCCAATCACACTGGATATGAAACTCCACTGTATTTAACTAAATACCTTAAAAAAGAAGATGATTCAGCAGTCTGGACAAGAGCATTGCATGCACTGGGCATTTTCAAGAGCGATTTTCTTCTGCGAGATCCTGAATTATTTCCAATTTTAAAGGTAACTAAAATGGATGCTGAAATTGACTATATTCATTGTAAATATTCTCAATATCCTAAGGGAAGAAAAAAACTAAGTAGCGATCTCTTCTGTTCTGGTCATTTTGCAAAATATTATAAACTAACATTGAGATTTTGATAAAAATTATACAATCAGAAGCTATGTGTGTGTATGTGTTCTTTTTTTTTTTTTTATAAAAAAATGACCCTGTAGTCCCTTAGTTGGGGCGACTGAGTGGAGATGAGCATTTACTGGTTGGATGCCCTTCCTGATGCCTATGTGGAGATTGCAGCAGATATTTTTTCTTTGTACCCTAAATGAGAGAAACATCTACCACTACCTAGGATTGAACTCTCAACCTTCTGAGTGGGACATGAGCATCTTCACCACTAGGCTACCCCCCAACACATATATATTCTCCTAAATTCAAGTACGGGGAAATGGAGGCACATTTGGAGAATATATTGGAGGTGGTAACCCTTTGAGAGCTGTATGCAATGAAATTTCATTTTTAATGTATGCCAATTAGTGTACATTCAAAGTGACAATCAAATTATTCTATTCTATTCTATTCTATTCTATTCTATTCTATTCTATTCTATTCTAGTCTAGTCTAGTCTAGTCTAGTCTAGTCTAGTCTAGTCTAGTCAATCTATAGAAATAATTTTTCCTTGAGAGAAATAAAATAGGAAAGTAACATTATAAGAAGAAATATCAAACCTATAGTTAAGGAATAAGTTTAATAGGGCTGACCATAATTCCTCAAAAAATGTGTTCTTTATATATTTTGAGCATTTGATTTGCTGCTAGTCAAGGATCAGTGTCTCTTCCTAATTATAAAATAATGATGTCTTTTTCTTTTCTTTAAAGCAATATTTATTACCACGAATAACACCAATATATCATCACTATGCAAATCTTCTTCGTGAGAACTCTGAAGCATTGGATAGGAACCCATTCACCAAGTAAGGTGTTAAATATGATTAAAATGTCCAAGACCTTGTTTAATACAAAGTAATAATGAGTTTCACTGACATCAGTGAAATTCCTTTCCAATTAATATGTCCAAATAAATGTAATTTATATACTTCATATTATGTAATATCTACACTCTGTTCTCTTATTATTATTTTTTTAGAAAATAGCCACATAGTGTTGTCATCAAATTGTCTTCAAACGTGTTTTTATTTCATGGGAAATCTTGCTTAGATCAGGGATTAACATTTCTTTTATTTACTTATATTTTAGTGCTTTTAAAATAACAATAGAAAAAGAAAAGGAATAAAACACAAAAATAATTATAATGTAGATACAGACATTCTCAAAAAAGAAACAGTGCTTTTAAAAAAAATACTTTTTTAAAAAATGAAAGAAAAAATACAACAGAAAAAAACCTGACGTATAATATGTCATTATAACAGTTACAATTCTATATATTCTTATCTAATGTAGGCATTATTCAAGTACATGTATATTTATTTCTAAAAAATTAGTATAAACTATCATTTGTGTTTAAACTATTGCACTTGTATAAATGAGTTCCAGATTTCATTACACAAATAAAGTTCTTCATACATCTATAGGCAATCCATTCAGAGATGGCAAGTGTAATCTGGTCTTCAGTCCACTGCATAAATGGGGCCATACATTTATCATTCAAATGCTGCAATATCTGGCTTTTGACCATAGTAAGGCACTGAGAATCCACTTACCTTATACAGTTGTCCAATTCCACATAATATGCAAGAGCCTTGGTGGCGCAGCAGACTAAAGTCTGTTAAGTAGCACCAGCTGCCTGCAATTACTGCAAATTCAAATCTCACCAGGCTCAAGGTTGACTCAGCCTTCCATCCTTTCGAGGTAGCTAAAATGAGGACCTGGATTGTGGGGGCAATAAGCTGACTTTGTATAAAAAAGAACACCGCTTGGGGGGGCCGAAAGCCCTACTAAGCAGGTATATACAAAAGTATGAAGGCTACTGCTTAACGCATTGTAAGCCACCCTGAGTCTCTGGAGAAGGGCGGCATATAAATCGAACCAATAAATAAATAAATAAATAAATAAACAAATAAATAAATAAATAAATAAATAAATAAATAAATGTAATTGAAGAGAATATTGTCTTCTGAAAAATTTAACTTTTGTCACAGTCACATTGATATAATCCACTACTTTCTCCCAAATTTAGTAAGTGTAGAACATTGCAAAAACATGTGTTTTAGAAAAAAACATTGCCCATATAACATTTCCAACAAAACCTGTCTATCCAAGTGTAATGGGGTTAATAGGTTTTTGATGGACAGAGAGTCTGACAATTTTTTTTTTTAAAAAAAATCAGAATTGTACATTGGTGGAATCAGAAATTTATTTATTATTTTTTAAAAAAAATTTTTATTGAAAATTATTAAAAAATACAAAAAAAAAGTATAACGATATGGTTAGAATTGCAGAGAGTAATATAATATATAGAGAGTTTTAAAGTATCAATTTTTACCTAGAGAAAGTACAGACCTCCATTAAACCAACTCATCAAAAGAAAGAAAAGTTTATCCAGAAGAAAAAATTTTCAACTGCCATGCAATGCTCCTGTAAATATTTACCCACGTTCACATTAAGGTTAATATTTCCATTCTTCTTAAGATTTCTTTTTTTGCAGCCAAGCATACCATCTGTCCCAGCTCCTATATAACCCCGATGGAATCAGAAATTTATAGATTCTCTCCCCCCGCTTCCAGGTTTTTGGTGTGTACCTTTTTAATTTTGCAGGGTTAGAGGTATCCTTGGTTTTTTTTAACCAATCATATCTTTTCCTTGTGTTAAAATGGCAGGAAATTATATTTGCCAGTAATGGTTGGAGAGAGGTTCAGGGAGAGCAAAGAGTATTTAGCCCTTGGACCACCCACTGTTTATATCTTACAGCTGTGTGTATATGTGTGTTGACAGTGTGTAATAGCATACTACGATGTTGCAGGGATTGAATCTTTTTAGTCTCTTTCCTTATTAAGTGCTCTTTTATTGTAGTTGTGGTCCTTGTTTGTATAGATATATGATTAGTCATGTAAATAAACAGTGTGTATCATTATATTTGTTTAATTCAAGTTACATGCTACCTGAATCCAAACTGACTCAGGGTGGCTTACAATAAAGTAAGTAATAAAAACACACTACAAAACAAAGCAGAGCTGATCATACCAGAAAGTGAAATGTTTTATTTATTTGGTATTGCTTTTAAAATGACAAAAAAAATAAAATAAATAAAAACAAAACACAAAGATAACTATGATAAAAACATTTCTTTACTTTTTTTAAAAAAGCACTTTCTCTGTATTTTTCCTTTCCTTTGACACTGTCTCTATTTTGTCATAACAAAAAATAAAAAGTTAATGAAGGAGGAAAAATCTATAAAGTTCATCTTCATGATGAAAGGCAGAAATATTAACTCACCAATTTTCCAAATCATTTATTCAATCAAGACCAGAGGAGATGGGCTACAAATATGACCTTGCAAAAAAGCCCTGGTGCTAGAAATATGCATTAAATAGAATTGGTTCTTTGATGTAATGCACTGCATTTAATATATTTCTCTTTGTTTCTCACTTTTGTTTTTCTTTGGAGACATGATGTAGACGAAATTCTTAGAACAGCATGCTGGTTTGGGCTTCGCGACTGTTTAGACCTAGCTTCTGAATTCTTCAACAAGTGGATGAACAATTCCAAACATGAGTAAATACAATTTATCCCCTCATCCTTATTATAAAATGTGCTCTTTTCCCATAAAACATGTTCTAAAGCTGTGTAAATACTAGACAATTGTTGTAAAAATAAGCACAAATTGTACAGAGAAGAAAAACAAAAACAAAGCATTGGGACAGAACAGAAGTAATAAATGCTAAATAAAATCCTAATAAACCATATTAATGGAAGCTGAAAAACAACACTGTGTGCTTTAGGGATTCTATCATTTTCACCAGACAGGGACAGAAAATGCAACTTATAATGCATAGCCATGTAAATTTATTTTGTGCAAGAAGGGTCTAATTGGGTATGGTAGATGACTACTATTGGATTAACTGAAAATACGTATTTGTGAAAACATAGAATGCTCTCTACTTAGGACTGTATTGATCACAATGATTAATTTCATCTCTTTATATTAACAGGTTGTTTTATTTATAATTGCAGGGTTCCTGTTTGTTTTAGCTCAGCTATTTGTTGCTATGGTGTTTGGTTGGGGAATGAAGAAGAATGGGAATTTATATGGAAAATTTTTAAAAAGAATGAGACCGAAAATGCATACAAAGCCAATATATTCTTTGCCTTGAGTTGCACTCGCAATCCATGGTTACTTCAAAGGTGATTTAATTAATGTTTGCACTGACTGAAAAAATAATGCACGATTTCACAAGACAAAGGCAATAACAATGTTACAAATTCATTCACTTTTTGCTAGATATGGACTTAGTGATTCCTTAAGTTCATGATTGTATAATTATTTTTTTAAAACAAAAAAATAGTTGTAAACATGACTGTTTGCTTAATAGTTACAGGCTGTCTATGTTAACATTCTTTCTCTTGATAAAACATAAAACCACAAAAAATGATGCATGAGTTCCATTTTTCAAATTTCTTTGTTCTTTTCTTTGATAGTAACATCACTTTTCTGAATAAAGTTTCATTATACATACCTAGAAATTCTCACTTTGGCACATTCTTCAAAAATTTATTTTCAGATGATTAAATTGGCAAAACCAAAACATTTTTAAAATCATGTCTCCAAGATAAATGTAACAAATGTAACAAACATGAAAAAATTCATGTAACGAATCTCACAATTGGTCTTATCTACATCCTCCTGTGCATTTTTTTGATTGTCTTTCTTACAGAAAACTTAATGTTACTATTTGACTGAAAATAGAAATCTGACTATAGCAGTATTTTTCAACCTTGGGAGCTTTAAGGATGCTGACTGGAGGATTCTGGGAATTGAAGTCCATACATCTTAAAATTGCCAAGGTTGAGAAACACTAGAGTATAATTTTAAAAGTTCTAAAATAAGGATCCTTGTCTATCTCCTCAGTTGTCTGTTTTTTTACAAGAAACTATCTACAGCGCTGTTCCATAATTGGAGGTGGCGGTAGTGGTTCATATGCTTTTAAATGAAAAACATTTTTAGTGACTTCATGAATGTATCAAAGCTTTGGTGGGTCTTGCATTCAGTTGTTCAAGACATAATACAAACTTTCTCCGAAGTTTCCAAATGTAACATTACAAAATGCATCTGTAATTCCTATAACAATGGTAATTTTGTAGATTTCCTTCCCATTCTTTCCATTATTTTTAACTGAGCCTAATTATAATTGTAATTTTAGGAGCATTTTAGAAATTAATTTTCTTCTTACAAATGTTTATTGTAAATAAACCTCTGTGCAGATACTTGAATTATATCCACAATGATGAGACAAATCCACCAGTTATTACAATCGAAGCAGTTCAGAATGTGGTCAAGAATGAGATTGGATATTGGACAGCATGGACATTTGTATCAGAAAATTGGTCATATCTGCCCATTAGGTAATGACACTGAAGTTCCATGTCTTTGGGATTGGGGGAGAACATTTGTCCTGAAATATTTTATTCCATTATGGAATAAATTAGACATCAACATGTGCAGAATTAGACATCAACATTTTAGCAACAAAAAACCTGTTTGTTTGTTTATTAAAATATAAAGAGTTACACCCTAGTTAGGCAGCAACACTCTGGTATGAATCCAGAAAAAATATTCTATATATCCATTTATACTGGGACTGTAAACTCACAGAAAGCTGGGAAGTAATTTTTATTAATCTCTTTTCTATGCAACCTGAGCCAGTACTAAACTGAGAGTGTTATTCTTCTCTTCTCCTATTAGCATTCTAAAATCTAGATGTGCTTAGGCTTGCTAGATTTACTCAAAGCTACATGGGCTGAGAAAGAATCAGATCAAGTGCAGTGTGAACTTTCCTTACAGATGTTTATTTAGAAAACTCATATAGCTGCCCATCTTAAATACATAACCCTAAATCAGCCTGTTTTAACACTTCAGGTTTATTCTTTCAGAGTAAGTTTGAGTAAAAATTGAAAGGTGAAAATATTACAGCATAAATTTAGCATCTTTTCAAAATACTTTTCCTTTATAAAAAGTAACAATGCTCTTGGTTATAGGTTTACACTGAATGCTCTCATGACCACTGTCACTACTGACATTCAAATGCAAATGGTAAGTGGAATAAAAAAATATAGTGCAATGAGATAACAAAAAGGATTTGCCCTGTAATGGAAGAGTTCAATTATTTTTATGCCAAATGCTGCACTTAGCATTTGAATGGCATGCTGGGGCTATATTACCCTAAAACAGGGGTCTCCAACCTTGGCAACTTTAAGACTTGTGGACTTCAACAAGCCTTAAATTTGCAAGGGTGGAGACCCCTGCCCTAAGATACAAACCAGTTTGGTTTAGTGATTAAGCTGCTGATGTAGAAACCCGGAGATAGTGAATTCTAGATCTCCCTTAGATATGAAAGCCAATTGGGTGACTTCGGATCACACACTATCTCTCAGCCCAAAGCCACCTTACAGGGTTGTTGTTATGTGGAAAATAGGAAGGACTATTACTGTATGTTTGCTGACACAAAACAAAAGTAGGATAAAGATCTTACGATCAATAAATAAAACACAACAATAACAGCTTAGAGATTGAAAGGTTCTTGAAAGGAAGCCGACTATGCAACGCCATGCTCAGGACAGGATTTGCTAAAGCATTTGAAATGGAAATAGAATAACAGAGATGGAAGGGACCTTGGAGGTCTTCTAGTCCAACCCCCTCTTAGGCAGGAAACCCTATACCATTTCAGAGAAATGGTTGTCCAAGCTCTTCTTAAAGACTTCGAGTGTTGGAGCATTTACAACTTCTAGAGCCAAGTTGTTCCACTGATTAATTGTTCTAACTGTCAGGAAATTTCTCCTTAGTTCTAGGTTGGTTCTCTCCTTGATTAGTTTCCACCCTTTGCTTCTTGTCCTGCCCTCAGGTTTTTGGAGAATAGCTTGACTCCCTCTTCTTTGTGGCAACCCCTGAGATATTGGAACACTGCTATCATGTCACCCCTAGTCCTTCTTTTAATCAAACTAGACATACCCAATTCCAGCAACCATTCTTTATATGTTTTAGCGTCCAGTACACTAATCATCTTTGTTGCTCTTCTCTGCACTCTTTCTAGACTCTAGAGTCTCAACATCTTTTTTACATTGTGGCGACCAAAACTGAATGCAGTATTCCAAGTGTGGCCTTACCAAGGCATTATAAAGTGGTATTAACACATCATGTAATCTTGATTCTACCCCTCTGTTTATGCAGCCTAGAACTGTGTTGTCTTTTTTGGCAGCTACAGTACACTGGCTCATATTTAAATGATTGTCCACTAGCACTCCAAGATTCCTCTCACAGTTACTACTATTTATTGGATAGGTGGCTACCACACTTCAGTTGGAAGACCTCCACTGAAAGTAAACATACCACTTTGTAAGGCAAGCTATTTCAATGGCTGATTCTTAATGTCAAGAAATTCTATCTGTGATCTTAAATGAATCTACTTTCCAGTAGCTTTAGCCCATTGGTTGTGGTCCTGATATTTGGACTAAGATATAAGTCAGTTACCTCTCTGTATCTGAAGACTATCATTATCTGCCCCAGCTTCTTGCAGTTGTGTTAATTGGTCATCATTGTTTCCAGCCTCATTATCTTGGGAGTCCTCCTTTGAACTTATTCCAATTTTCTGGTGTTAGTTTCAGTCTGCAGTGTCCAGAACAGTAATCAATATTTCATGTGGGAATTGACCAGGGCAGAATAAAATGGGTCAATTACTTTCTGAGATCTGGATTCTACTCCCAATATATCCAGGTGGTTTTTCACGCCTAAGGAAGCATCCCAAATTCTAGCCTGGTGCCTTAACCACTAGCCCAACACCTGGTGTATAAATCTGGGATGTCTGAACTTCCACCTAATACTTAAAGGAGTTGCTTTCTGTGGTCAACTTTTATTTTTATAAGCTATCCCCATTTGAATTTCTCTCTAACTTACTATATGAAATCCCATTCCCTTATACTTTGTGTGGCATTTAGAAGCAGAAGGAGAAGATGGAAAGCAACCTTGTTAGATTTTTCACCAGTGAAAAGTTTTACCTCTACTTTTGTTCCCAAAATTACTAAGAACAAGAGTTAAGCCATTTCCATTTATATATTTATTTGACTTGTATAATCACTTGTCTCACAAGAAATGGCTTTGAGTGGGATGATGATGATGATAATCTTATCCATTGAGTCATGTCTGACTCTTGGTGATTCTATGGGCCAGGTCTCTCCACATCTTCCAACCTTGGACTACTTCTTTGAGTTTTTCCAGCCAAAGCATAGAAAACAATACAATAATCAAATAAAAACAATTATGGAAAACAATTATAAAATATAAATCAATCATTATTATAAATTAAAGGATATTAAAAAGATATACAAACCAGGAGCACAGAGAAAATGAATAGTTGATCTATCTTAAGATATTGTTGGTTTCCTGGGACCCAAGCTTGGTGATATAACCAAGTCTGGAAGGACTTTTGGAACAATGACAAGGATGGCAGTAACTTGACTTTCCATTTATCTGTGTACACTGTAAAGTATTACGTGTATCTGATATACATTATATTATGTTAAATTATGTCATAAAATATACTGTTTAGATTAACACTTGCCTTTATTAATCTTTGTCTGCTTTATTTTAGATACAAGTTTTTGTTAATAATACCCTTGAACCTGAAGAAAAGATAATGGCTACAGACATAATGCTGACAGAAAAATCTGTAAATGAAAAAAGAAAAAAATCAATTACTAAAATGATCATGTGGTTAAAGGAAAATATGGACAATTGACAGCTGAGACATTTCTTTTTTAAAAAGATATCTTCATAGCAATTAAAATTTCCCGAAAATTTGAAAGATGTTATTTTGGGTATACACACAATTGTTTTACTGTGCAAGCAATAAAATACCATTCAGTGCAAAGCAAACTACTGGTATTAAATGAATTGTTTTCTCCCAGGACAATGTCTATACAACTATTTGTATACTTTGTGAAATTCTTCCTCTGTAAAAATGCACTTCTAAAAGCTATGTAAAAGGAATTTCAAAGAATATTATATATTAAAGAAATTGAACAAAGGAAACTTTTATGTTTGAAATGAACCGGAAGCTAGAAGACTCTGTTGTTCTCTGATGTGCCTTGGAAATGGGACTCAAATATTTTTGAGCTATAGCTTTTTTATTTTTTAAATGAAAATGATGACAATAAAATATAAGAATTTCATTATAAGAATATATCACCTGAAAATGTGTTTCTCTGTAGTGAGGTAAAAAAGGTATATGTTTTATAGTAATATAATATATTATAATATAATTTATATATATATAAATATATATTAAGTGTTTTTCTATCGAGACACCTGGTCTACCCCAGCATGTGGGAGGGAGCTTATTGTATCCCTTTCACCTTTCAGCTCCAATCCAGGAGCCCTCAAGCAGTCGCATTCACAACAAACCATGATATACTAAATTTATATTTCGCTGATAAAGAAATAAATTTCTTTATTTCTTTATCAGCAAAATATAAATTATATATATATATGTGTGTGTGTGTGTGTAAACATTGTTTTTGCAAATTTTCTAAAAATTTTAGTTTTGGATCTTAACCTTTGCTTAATTTAGTAAAAGAGTCAAAGAACAAAGGAAGGACTCTAATGAAGTAAGCAATACGATGTTTGAATAAAGGCAGTAATAACTTCCACATTGCATAAACCGCAGCATTTTCTTTTCCCAAATTCTCTTGTTACTAGAGTCTAGTCTAGTGGCACTAAGGGCAGGACATCCTGTATATTCACAGTGAAAAACTGAATGGAAGGGATAAAAATGGAAAGAGAGTGGCCTTCAAGAGTCTGGATGGCTCTGTTAATATGAGGGGTCCACATTTACTTATTTGCTGTTGTGACCTTAAATACTATTGCTGTACTACTGACCTAATCCAGGGAGAAAGTGAGCAAGCTGGAGATCAGAAAAGATACCTTGAGCATTGATTTTGCTATTCATTCTTTTAGTTACAGCAGCTGTCTAATTGGGACAGTTGTTCTCTCTCCTCCTCTCTCCCTCCCTCTCTCTCCCTCCCTCCCCCCTCTCTCTCCCTCCCTCTCAGAAAGATCTGTCAGAAATAATCAATCAGCATCAACAGAACATTGGAATGTATGTCATGTTGCCCAGAGGAAATTTACTTTGTGCTTAATTCTGAGTTTTCAGATCATAAAATATTTGGATGGTATTTTGTACCAACTTCTTTTTAAGCATTGCCTGTTTTAGGTGTCTTTAAAAAAAAAAATGGGCCAATTTATATATAATGGCAATTATAGATTAAATGGATTTGAAATGTTTTGGAACTATGGAGGTATTTTTAGTACTGATTACGGTGCTGTGTGAATGCTCCAACACTGGAGCCTTTTAAGAAGGGACTGGATAACAATTTATTCAAAATGGTTATAGGCAGTGGTGGGATTCAGCCAGTTCGCACCACTTCGGGAGAATCGGTTGTTAACTTTCTAAGTGGTTTGGCAAACTGGTTGTTGGAAGAAATCATTAGGGCAGAGAACCGGTTGTTAAATTACTTGAATCCCACCACTGGTTATAGGGTCTCCCGCTTGAGCAGGAGCTTGGACTAGAAGACCTCCAAAGTCTCTTCCAACTCGGTTATATTGTTTAGGGCTCCTTCTTCCTTAACAAATGTACTTTCAGAAATCCTTTACAGCTTAGGCAGGAACATTTTGTCCTTAAAATCCCAAGGAAAGCCAGACTACATGTGCCAAGAAAAACTGTGTGAGTTTAACACTCCTCATCCAAGTCTCTTCATGGTTAGACATAAATACCATTGCATTCAGTGAGCTTTTTTCCCAAATAAGCAGGCACAACCTGCAAATCTAAATATGTGTATGTGATAATATACCCAATTTAATTGGTTTGTTATTTTAAATGGGGGCCAAATTAATATATATATATATATTTAATTGTTTTTAATGTTTGTATTGTATGTTTTTTATCAGGCTGTACACTGCCCTCAGTCCCTCGGGAGAAGGTGCGGTATATAAATTCAAAATAAAATAAAATAAATAAAATAAATAAATTATATTCTTTGGGTATGATTTACTTTGAAGCAGGTAGGTCTAGGAGTGTAGGGTACATAGTGTGTGTTTTTGTTCTCTGAAGACTTACGTGAGAAACTCCTTAATCTACTGAAATTCCACTAGATAGAAGGTGGGAACCTGAAATTTTGAACTGAAGCTTAGTTTCTAGGAAGTTCTGGTTGCCTGGCCAGTATTTAGGGATACTGAGAGTTATAGTTCTACAGCAGCTGGAAGAAAAAGCTGGATGAAAACAAATTTCAATTGCTTGCCTTTAGTGAAGAGAATAACCTAATTAAATTATTTATTTATTTATTTTTAAAAATTATTTTGATTGTACTAGATTTTTAAAATCAAACAGATAGGTGACCATTATGCTCCTTTTCTTTTCTGCCACCACTGAAATATCCATTAAAAATGTGCCAATTAGAATTAGTTAATGGCTGGCATCAGCCATTTCAGCCAAAGTGCAAAATGTGAAGCTATTTGGTTTTTTTTATGCTTTTTAAAGAATCTTGAACTTGGGACATCACTGTTTAGGAAATTTGTTTATAAATATGGACTTACTTTACAAGTAAATAAATAAAAAGCCAAGCACTTCACTAGAAGATAGCCAAGTTACAAAAGCCTATTTTATAATGAGTCTGAAGGTTGAATCATGGCAACTGAACCAAATTTTGTTAATCTGAAATGTTTCGTTGTTCATCCAAGCAACTTCATCAATCAGAGCAAACATAGTTAGGCAGAAGGCCAGAGAGCTGTTTGGAATGTACCAATTCTTTCTACCCAAAATGCATTGCAATACATCAATACAGATTCAATCTTCATTTTCAGCAGTTTTTCAATCATATACAAAACTCTCCACTGTTATAGAATATCTTGAAATTGTGATGAAGGTAAAGCTAACCATATCCATGTTGTTGTTGTTTTACCTCCTGTGAGTTTAAATGTTTAATTCATTTGATGGCTTTGACTGCGTTGTGCTTCACCTGCCAAGGTAAATCAGAAAAAAACTCGTCTGGATCAGAAAATCAAATTAAAAATTTAAATCCTAGTGCTAAAAGTCTTATATTCATCTTCTGTATGCATGTATGGTAATTATAAAAACTTGAACATTGTAAAACTGCAATTCTTGATTTTAAAGGTTTTTTTTTCTAATGAAGCGATGCTGTTCTTCTCATGTTACCTGCAGAATCCCTGGTTAAATGTGACTCAGGTGCAGTAGAAGGTGCACTAATTAGCGCAGTCACATTGCCCATTGTGCCCAATTACATTTGTGAGCAAACAAGTAGCATTGCTACTGAGAGACAATTAGCAGGATTTCAGACCGTGTACCAGTACTAACAGTTGAATTTATGCGGTGTCTACCTCTAGCAGAAATTCGCTGTCAGATTGTTTATTGCATTTTAACAATCTTGTTAGGTAAGTTTTGAAAAAAGAATCTAGACATAATAAGAATTGCTAACTTGATCAATAATTACCTGAAAGTGAACATTCAAGTGATGTTTCATTTGTTGTATTTTTTTTTGTTGAAAATGTGAACCAGCATCTTGATTCTTAATTTTACACTTCAAATAGAGACCTTTAAGATGATGCTAATTTTAGTAATAGTCATTTACTATCTGTCATTGAATTCATGGAATTCAACATTTATTTCATGCTTATTTATATTAACTATTGTGTATTTTCTTCTGTAGAGCAGGCAAACAGAAAATAATTAGCTGAAAAAGAGTAAACGCCGTAGGTTATGCATAAGAAAGATTTTTAATTCTAACATTGGTATAGTTTTAATACATTCTTTGTCCAAAACTATTATGCAATAGAATATTCATTGTGGAATATGTGAAAAAATTTAATTTAAAAATCAATGTTTATTTTTTTTAGCAATGTTGAAAAGACGATATAAGAAGCACCTCCGTCTTCTATACATTACATGGAAGTCCAATTTTATGTTTTAATTTTTACAGTAAACCACATCATACAAAATTCTAACAATTTAAAGATGGATTGACTCACTGTCCAAAAGATTTTATTGTACATATTTGAAACTATTTGCTGCAATCTTCTTTTGAAACATTAGTGGATATTTCATGTGAAAATGATTCTGATCTGCATACTTGCATATGTTATAAAATATGGAAAGAAATTACAGTAAAACTAGATTTATTTATCTAGCGTTGCTAGAAGCCTGATGCTTTAGGGACATTGTCTCTGGTTTCAGTCTTTGGGGAATAGGAGATGAAATGTTACCAAATCACTCCAACCACAGAAATTGTATTTCCTGACTTCAATCACAATGGAGAGTTTTATTTTTCCAATAAGCAGCTTATCATAAAGTATGTCATTAAAGTCATGTAAAGTAAAGTGCAGCTGAATCCTTTAGTTCTGAAATAAAGAATAGTAACAAAGCATCTAAGGATAAATATAAATACAGCTGCTGCATATATCTGTAATACTGAAAGTCACATCTGCAATATTTTAAATGCAAATATAACAATAACATATAATGAACAGGGTAATTTCAAAGAATAATAGGTTAAGCTAATGAAATAATAAATAATAGTTATCCCATTTTGCAATGAATATCTTTATATGGTTCAAGGTGGAGAGATCACAAAAAGCAAAATGATGTCTGTGACCATGTAATTGAAATTGCAATCTTGATCTTTTAAAATTTTATTTGTCACACATACATACTGACATTTCAGTATCCATGTCTTGCATGCCAAGCTTGTTGCTAGCCAAAACCTTGGAATTATGGTGAATGTTTGTTTTTGAGTCTTAATGGATTTTTGGAAACAGAATAATTTATATTATTATAAGAAAATAGCTGTATACAGCTACGAGTTTGCTTTAAGTCAGTGTTTCTTAATGTGCTCTCCAAATATGTTGGGTTACAGCTCTAAAAATTTGTAGCCAGTGTGACTGTCTGCTTTTCACATTTTGGGAAGGCAACTGTCTGGGCAGATTGCTTTAAATTCATTAATCCATGTTGGGAAGAAATTGTTTTGATGCATCGTCAATCAATATGATTATCTGTATTGGAAGCAAGTTAACTGAATTCATCAAATCTTGGACATCATAACTAAGGGTTAGTAAGGAACTTAAAGCTGGAACTGCGGACCTCCTAACTAAAAACATGCAACCAATTTCTATGTAGCTGAAATGTAAAGCAGGACAGCAAGCGATCCTCTTCTACAATGTAAATGGAACAACTCTGTGGATGAGGATGATATATTCAACAAACAAGTCAGGGGATTCTCCTGACAGTAATACAAAAGTGATTTGCTGTTACTTTCTTCTGGGATATTTTGTCTGAAGTCCTACTCTAATATACAAATCTGGGATTATCTGGTGGTTTCAAATCCCTCCAAGTGCTAGACTAACGGGAACCCAATCATTTAGTCCATGCAAAATGAAACATATAAAAGAATGGTAAAATTGTTCAACTACATAGAACAACACTGACACCTAACGGTAGATTGCGTTTACTATTTGCTGCATTTGCAATTGAAAATGCTGAATGTTTTTTCCCACCGCAGAACTAATGTGAGGCTTTTTTATTTGTTTATGTTTGTGAAATTCCTTTTGGTGATAGTTGATGAAATGTGTATGGAAATACAACACATTCCAGGCGGTATTTCCTTACATGTGTAGTGCTGCCGAAGAAATATGGCTCCATTTTTTTTTTAAAGGGAGAAAAGTCAAAACAAGATCCACAAAATTGGGAGTGGTTCCTGAAGGTTAGTCCTGCTGATAGAAAGGAAAAGCCTGCTTTCACTTAACAGATTTTGGAGCACTGTTAAAAGGTACTAAATTGCTATTTCAAAAATATTCCTGAGCTTTTTTTTTCAAGGTAGGACCTTTGTCCACAACGATTTGCAGAGAAACAACTCATTCCACTAAAGCCTGAGCTTTTGTGTTTGTGTGTATTTTTGTTACAATTAGTAAGTGGCTACCTGCATATGGTACGGACATAATTTGGTTTTCTATCACTTAAAAATAAAACACTGGCCTTGGAGTGCTATAGGGAGAGTGGAGTTTGCTGTTCTTTAAGTGGATATATAAAACTTAGGCTCGAAATCATCACCTACAATTAATAGCAATAGCACTTAGACTTATATACCGCTTCATAGTGCTTTACAGCCCTCTCTAAGCTGTTTACAGAGTCAGCATATTGCCCCCAACAATCTGGATCCTTATTTTACTGACTTCAGAAGAATGGAAGCCCAAGTCATCTTTGAGCTGGTCAGAATCAAACTCCTGGCAGCGAACAGTGAGTTAGCCTGCAATACTGCATTCTACCACAAAAAGGGGAGAGAGAGGGAATCAGAGATTTACATGTGTGCATATATGTATACACACATGTGTGTGCATGCACGCGCGCACACACACACACATTCTCCCTCTGCTGGTTGGTTGAGTGAGAAATAAAACCCAGCCCCATAAATCCATGCTCTTGGTTTTAACCTTTATTTAATGTTAATTTTATTTATTTATCTTACTTTTAATGCTTTTAATGTTTTTATATTTATGATTTTATACCATTGTAAGACAAAGGTCGGCAGTTCAGCGGTTCGAATCCCTAGTGGCAAGCGAGCTCCTGTTACTTGTCCCAGCTTCTGCCAACCTAGCAGATTGAAAGCATGTAAAAAATGCAAGTAGAAAAATATGAACCACCTTTGGTGGGAAGGTAACAGCATTCCATGCGCCTTTAGCATTTAGTCATGCCAGCCACATAACTGCAGAGACGTCTTTGGACAATGCTGGCTCTTTGGCTTTGAAATGGAACGACTAGCACATATGGAGGGGAACCTTTACCTTTACTTTAAGCCACCCAGAGTCACTTTGGCTAGTGAGACAAGCAGCATATAAAATAAATATCAGTTGATACATGTACACTGTCTATATATTACTATAGTATATTTGAAAGCAGGATAGGACAGATCAAAATAACAAAATAATTGAACTAATAACTATGGAGCAATATTTGTTGCCTGTAAAGTAAGGCATTCTATTTATAAAATTAACCAATGTAATTATAAGGTAGAGGAGAGAAGGGAGTCAACCTGACCCATTTGTTAACATAAATAAGCAAATCAAAGATTGAGGCTGTAACCGGAATGAAGCATCTGAGCAAGAACTTATGGTTGCCATAGTTATTTTGACTCTTTGACACCTGTCCCCTGACTGTGAATTTCTTGGCCTTTAATTTATATGCAAATTTCAGTATTTGACACCTGTCTTTTTTAAAATCAAGCCTCAGTTGCACATGTCAGAGGATGGTGTTTGAGTTCAGGACTGGTAGCTTCCCTGTCTTTCTATAAATAAGTTCAGCGCAATGCAATTTTCCCCTTTAATATAGGATTGTTCAAAAAATAACCAGTTAACCAGTTCCAAAACTGTTTAACCCTTTTCCAACTTTAATTGTGGTTGCTGTTTTTTATAATTCTTGATGAAGTATCTTTTTTTTTAATGTACACTGAGAGCATATGCACCAAGACAAATTCCTTGTGTGTCCAATCACACTTGGCCAATAAAAAATTCTATTCTATTCTATTCTATTCTATTCTATTCTATTCTATTCTATTCTATTCTATTCTGGCAGAATTCTTTTTGTGTAATAGTGTAGGCTTGTGTTTCTCAACCTTGCCAATTTGGAGATGTGTGAACTTCAACTCCCAGAATTGCCCAGCCAGCATAGCTTGAAGCTGAAGTCCACACATCTTCAAACTGCGAAGGCTGAGCAACGCTGGCGTAGATTAACATCAGGGCTAATAATGCATTTGCACGTATAGTTGAAAATAAATATCTTTAGCTTTGGGCTTACTCTCCTTAGTATCTGTTTGCTGCTGTCTCAGTGGGACAATTGTCAGGATATTTTTAAACATATAAATATATTTAAAACATATGGATTAATTACCAAATTGTTCTGTAGGAAGTTTTATAATGTAAATACAGCACTTGTTAATATGACCAATTAAACTTCTATTTTATGGGATAATCCATTTAAAGCTAATTGTGTGTAAATGTAATTGCGTGGCATTTTATTCTGCTGTATAATTTCTTTATTTGTTTCTTTCCAAATCAATGTACGTATACATATTCCCAGTCGTGTTTTACATTCAAGGAGCCTGAATGGTATACAGAATAATGACAGCAAAAGGCCCTGTGATATAAAGTATTTAGCTATACAACAATTTTTTAAAAATCCTAACAAATGCCAGTGATCAAAACTGAATCTCATTATGTTTTGTTCCTGGGATTATTGATGTGCAAAGCTGTTGGTGAACAGCTTTGCGTTGCTGTCTAAAATAAAAAGCTCAGGAACCTTTTTAAAATGGATAAAAGCAGCAGATTCCATTAAAGAAAGGGGCGAGGAACTGTTGGTATACAGGTAGTCCTCAACTTACAATGGTTTGTTTAATGACTGTTCAAAGTTACAACAGCACTGAAAAAAGTGACTTGTGATCGTTTTTCACACCTACAACTGTTGCAGCATCCCTGCGATCACAAGATCAAAATTTGGACACTTGGCAACTGAACTCATATTTATGACAGTTGCAATGTCCCGGGGTCATGTATATCACCTTTTGCGACCTTCTGATAATCAAAGTCAATGGGGAAGCCAAATTCATTGATCAACTGTGTTACTAATTTAACAGCTGCAGTGATTCACTCAGCAACTGTAGCAAGAAAGGTTATAAAATGGGGGGGGGAAATCACATAACAAATAGTTCGCTTAGCAACAGAAATTTTGCTCTCAGTTGTAGTCGTAAATCTAGGACTACCTGTACCATTATAACTGTAATAATACCAGTTATTATTAGACTACAATTCAAGTCATTCCAGCTACTGGCCACACTGTAGCAGAACCTAGATGCTTTAGAATGTAACAACTTAACCTAAGGTCAGAGAGTCCCACGTCTGCCTTAAAACCAAGCTGAAGTTCGGGGACTGAAACTGGATGAGTGCTTCACCTATGGATATTATCATGGTGTTTAATTCAACAGTCCAAAATTCTGGCATTTTCCCTGACAAAGTTCTACGTCCATGATTTGTGGATTTCTCATTGCAGATTTTTTGCATACCTTTAAAAATGGGTGATTGTTCGGAAGGCCTCTGTCCTTCGGGGGGCCCGTCTGCAGAAGGGGAATTGGCAGGAGGGAGCAGCGTATGCACTAAGGAGATGACCTTGGAGCAAAAACAACAGGTACAACCAGAATTTGCCGAAGTATTTATAACTTTCAGAAAGTGTTTTATAATTCACTTTTAAAGATAAAAAAAAATTAGGCCTTGCTTTTGACTCATATGTTATTCTTTTCTGTTATGAATCTCTAGACCAGCTATGCTGGCTGGAGAATTCTGGGAGTTGAAGTCCACAAGTCTTAAAGCTGCCAAGTTTGAAGACCTCTGCTCTAGACATTTCTTTTCCTGGAATTTGGTACTGATATAAATATATTGGATGCCTAAGGTAACCCTAAAGTTAGAAATGTACCTGATTCAAACCAAAGATTTATTTGATAAATCAGAGGACTTGAATGAGAACAAAGAATATAATCTAGGAATCTGTTTAAATGTTGTGGGTTCTTGTCATGGATCCCTTTCTGCAGAAGGGAAGCTCATGTTGATAGATACTGCCTGTATTCTGTCTAATGCTAAGTCCTAAAGTGGTTTCTTTTTCACTTAGCGTAATATTTGAACCCAACCATTACAGATTTACAAGCCTTTGCAAGCCTTTGCTTACGGTTTAATGTTTTACGTGCTTCTAGCCACTGTATTCAGCAATCCATCATTTAAAGCAACTATGATTTAATGCAGTGAATTACACTTACTACATTTATACATTATTCTAAACTAAGAACTTGAGCATAATTTATTTGATAAATCACAGTTGGCTTATTAGCTCAGTCATCCACAGGAAGATATTCAAAAAATCTGAAGGCAGATTTCAAATATTTTATTTAAACCAGGATGCAAAGCAAAAGTTACAATAAGAGGCAAAAAAAAAAATGGTACAGAAACTGAGGTAGATATTTTCAAATATTAAAATTTTACCAGAGATGTGGGATCCAAGGACCCCCCCCCCCAAAAAATGTAAGAGCAGGTTACAAGTAGCAGCAGGAAGGAAGAAACCCAGAAACTGTAATGGTTGAATCTCCCATAATTGCGTTGCACATAGACATTTTAATACCTAATTATGATACATAATTCAGCCAAATTCTGCAAGGGCATCTTTTAGAAGTTTTCCAAGTTAAGCTTAGTAATTGAATGATTAATCTTTTCAGCCCACCTGGGAAGAAATGTACATAATGCTGCTGGTTTCAGTCTGATAAGGCCTTTTGCCCCACTTTCAAGAGTTCCTGGAAACTTTTCACTTGGGTTCCCTTCTCTGATCTATTTGCTCTTTTCAGGTTTATAATTTGTGTTCAGTCTATTCTTTAGTTGCGTAAATTCACCTGTGCTAACAATTGCCTAAACAAGTTCTACAATCTTGGCAAATCTATCTTCAGGTCTCACTAAGCTTGAACCTATGTTGATAATCTGCCACATTCCTCATATTCAACTATCCAAATATCCCTGCCTTCCCTCTAGTATGCACCGAGGAGAAATTTTAGTTTAGATTAGATTAACAGAGTTGGAAGGGATCTTGTAGGTCATCTAGTCCAACCAGAGGTGGGTTTCAGCAGGTTCTGACCAGTTCTGGAGAACCGGTAGCGGAAATTTTGAGTAGTTCGGAGAACTGGTAGTAAAAATTCTGACTGGACCCGCCACCATCTACTCTTTGCCTCCCAAGTCCCAGCTGATTGGGAGGAAATGGGGATTTTGCAGTATCCTTCCCCTGGAGTGGGGTGGGAATGGAGATTTTACAGTATCCTTCCTGTGCCACACCCACCATGCCACGCCCACCAAGCCATGCCATGCCAAGCCATGCCATGCCCACCAAGCCATGCCATGCCCACCAAGCCACACCCATAGAACCGGTAGTAAAAATTTTTGAAACCCACCACTGAGTCCAACCCCCTTCCCAAGCATGAGACCCTACACCATTTCTGACAAATGGCAGTCTAATCTCTTCCTGAAAGGCTCCAGTAATGAAACTCCCACAACTTCCGAAGGCAGGCTGTTCCATTGGTTGATTGTTCTCACTGTCAGAAAATTTCTCCTTATTTCTAGGTTGAATCTCTCCTTGGTCAGTTTCCATCCATTATTCTTTGTCTGGCCTTCAGGTGCCTTAGAATATAGCTTGACCCCTTCCTCTCTGTAGCAGCCCCTCAAATATTGGAACACTGCTATCATGTCTCTCCTGGTCCTTCTTTTCACTAGACTAGCCATGCCCAGTTCCTGTAACCGTTCCTCATATGTTTTAGTCTCCAGTCCCCTAATCATCCTGGTTGCTCTTCTCTTTGAATAGTTGTGGGGCATTGGCTGCATAATTTCATAGAAAGTGCTTCCATTGCCCAGCCCACAAATAATTTACCCAAATTCTTAGAGCTAATGCTTGTTTATTCAGATAAGATTGTACCAGAGCCTATGCTTCATTTCAGATTTTCTTCGTGTGTGCATCCATCATGGTGTCCAGATGATTCTGCAATTATTGATGCAAGAAAACAAAAAGAATGCCCAAATGTTCACAAGCTGGGCTAAAGCTGTGGTGTATAAATCATTTATGATGCTAACCTTTTAGCTCCATTTATATAACCTACAATACTGAGTCACTATTACCAATTTCAGATAGATAGAATAGAATAGAATAGAATAGAATAGAATAGAATAGAATAGAATAGAATAGAATAGAATAGAATTCTTTATTGGCCAAGTGTGATTGGACACACAAGGAATTTGTCTTTGGTGTACACAAAAAGACAAGATACACTCATCAAGAATCACAAGGCACAACACCCAGTGACAGTCATATGGTACAATAAGCAATCAAATCATACTAGGAAACAATCAACATCAATATAAATTGCAAGGATATAAGGAACAAGTTACAGTCATGCAGTCACAAGTGGGAGGAGATGGGTGACAAGAACGATGAGAAGACCGATAGTAATAGTAATGCAGCCTTAGTGAATAGTTTTGACAGTTTGAGGAAATTATTTGTTTAGCAGAGTGATGGTGTTCGGGAAAAAAATGTTCTTGTATCTAGTTGTCTTGATGTACAATGCTCTATAGTGTCGTTTTGAGGGAAGGAGTTCAAACAATTTATGTCCAGGATGTGAGAGATCTGTAAATATTTTCACAGCCCTCTTTATTACTCGTGCAGTATAGAGGTCCTCAATGGAAGGCAGGTTGGTAGCAATTGTTTTTTCTGCAGTTCTAATTATCCTCTGAAGTCTGTGTCTGTCTTGTTGGGTTGTAGAACCAAACCAGACAGTTATAGAGATGCAGATGACAGACTCAATAGTTCCTCTGTAGAGCTGTATCAGCAGCTCCTTGGGCAGTTTGAGCTTGCTGAGTTGGCGCAGAAAGAACATTCTTTGTTGTGCTTTTTTAATGATGTTTTTGATGTTAGGTGTCCATTTTAGGTCTTGAGATACGATATAACCTAGAAATTTGAAGGTCTCTACTGTTGATACTGTGTTGTCTAGTATTGTAAAAGGTGGAAGTATGGGAGGGTTTCTCCTAAAGTCTACCACCATTTCTACGGTTTTGAGTGTGTTCAGTTCCAGATTGTTCTGGTCGCACCACAAGGTTAGTTGTTCAACCTCCCATCTGTATGCGGATTCATCATTGTCTTGAATGAGACCAATCACTGATGTATCATCTGCAACTTCAATAGTTTAACAGATGGATTGTTTGAGATGCAGTCATTGGTATATAGAGAGAAGTGGAGAGAGCACACAGCCTTGGTGGGGGGCCTGTGCTAATTGTACAGGTATTGAAAGGCACCCTTTTGCTGTAGATATCTCATATTGACGTGAGATAAGTTAATACAATTCTCTCTGCATACACCTTGATTCAGTGCCGTCCGTGGAATGACATAAATTTCTTTTTGTCCTTCTGGTCTATTGGCTGATTATAGCGCAAGACAAAGACAAATAGTATTTCTTTTTTTTTTGTCCACCCCCCCTCCACTCCAGGATGTCTTAGAATGATCCAAATAATCTCATTCTTATCTTGTTCTCCATTCAAAGCCCATGTAATTATTTTTTCCAGCCTATAACATTCATAAACTGTGGGTGCTTTAATTTATAGGAGTATTTTGCAACTGAAGACCTTTGAGTGCGAAGCTACTGTTTGCACCATTCCAAATGTGATGCAAATAAATCAAGAAAAAAAGCAGCTTCTGTGGATTCCAGGTCCGGGGGTTTTGTGACTGATCCTGTTCAGATTATTTTTGTTTTAGCTTTTCTTTTCCCCGATGCTCAGCCTTCTGTTCTGCTTTCTCTTTACTAGCCTTTCCCCTGCAGGTAAAATCAAGCTGGGCAACACTTTAAACTGGTGTAGCATAAAACTATTTGTGCAAATGGCAGGACGAGGTATCCCAAGCTAGACAGGCAGGCAGGCAGGCAGGCAGGCAGGCAGACAAACAGACAGTTCAATATTGGTATGTGCCCAATCAATTTCCAGAGAGCCAAAGTCACAGCCACCTTTGGTCCAACAGTACTTACTGAGATGTTTACATACCCAGGGAATGGCCTGGGTACCACATATACCGCCTAACAGGGCTGATACCACCTTGCCTCCAAACCATGCACTTTTGCCACTTCCAAAATCTGATTAAAACAATGTTCATGAACTTCGGCAACTAAGATATGTGGTTGAGAAACACTGGGTTAAAGCATTCTATGGCATCCCCTCTATTACCGCCCTTACTTTAGCATCTATTAGCTCCTGATATGCTTATGGTGACCACCTAAATAATCGATTGCTCTCGAGTCTCCCTTTCATTTCTCTAAAACCATTGACAGTTGACAAACCTTCAGACAGCATTTCTTTCCCCACAAAATATCATCTAATGCCCCCATATCTCCAAATGGTACCTCCTGTTCAGAAAACTGGACAGAATGGGCTTGATGTTCTCCTGGCACCTGCACAATTTCCTTGAAACAGCCATAATATCCCTGTAAGTTAGATTTACACAGATGACTGGATCTGTAAAAGCTGTAACTTCTAAAGCAAGTTACCTTGCAAATTGAATAATTAATAAAAGGCATTAATATATTTATACTTCAAATGAACATGGTCTGAGGAAAACATAGAGAGTGTAGTATACACATTTATTCAGTCTCACTATTTAACACTGACAAGTTGCCTCTATTTTTCTAAGATATCCCACCTAATGTTGAATAAATGCACAATTTACTTATGGGTTGCAGGATTCCACTATCTCAATGATTTATTAGCAAGGTAGGCAACATGACAAGATAATTAGGATCAAAATATCAGTCCTAGGAAAGCTATGCCCATGTTTACAAGCTGTCTTTGTCTGGAATACAACTAACAGAGAATTAGCAAGAGTTGCTTAAGAGCCACAGACAGAACATAACATTCCAAACAAAATACAGAGATAGGAAAAATTCCCTCTGTTTGTTATCTATATCAATCCATAGCAAACTCCACTAGTTTTTCCCCAGCTTTAAAATTTGTTGGTTAACCACTATTCCATACAGTACACTTTGAAGAGATCTCATGTCATGCCACTCAATCGTAATAATTGAGTTCTGTCACCAAATTAAACCCCACACAAGCAATTCATATTACTGTCAGCTTTCCCAGGTAGGCCAGACAGGAAACACAAACGGATGAGCTAATTCCATTGTAAAGGTACATTAACAGAGTCTTGCAAGCCTGCTAAATACAAATCTCCCACTGTTTCTTCTATAGTCTGAGAGGTTCCTTTCTGAGTTTTCTTCTCTGGCCATTATGCAGCTGCAGGCTATGTCCTCTGTTATCTGATTATTTCCTAGGCAGCATCTCTTCACACCCCCTTTCCCAAGGTCATTTCCACATACCGTTACAATTATGGATTAGCACACCATGTGAAGTACTACCTGTAAAGTTTCTGAAATGTCTATCCTGTATAAGTTCCAAGGGCAGGGCATTCAGCCCTTACCTGGTAGGTAGAATAATAATTTATCTAGTCAGACTTCATTTTTACCAGGAGACAATAAGCACTCTAAGTTTGAGTAATGCTATATATTAGACTAATACGTGAGCATAGAAAGACTTCTGCCGGAATGCTTTGATGTTTATTGCTGCAATCATGCAATGCTGGGTGCATAAATTGCCTGAGGCACGCTTCATTTTATTTCTGGTTTATTTTTGAAGTCTCAAACACGTACAGGCAAATGTGTCCCAAGACCTGAATAACTGTGATGCAGTTTGATCTCCCACATGCTGTATAAACCTGCTCAGGTATCAGACCATGGAGATTTTCTCCAAGTAATTAGATAGCAAATATTTAGCCACAGCAGGACAACAAGACATGCCTGATAGAGAAGCAGACCTCCTCTCCTGTGGTGTCTGCCTTCTAGAACAAAATCCCCACCGCCCCTACCCTGACCTTCTTTAAATGAGTCAATAATATCTGGTTCTTCCTATAGGCCTTGGGCTAGAGTGGATGGCAGATCCCTTGTGCCAGGGCTGTCAAACTCACAGCCTGCAGGCCGGATGCGTCACACGCTGGCCACACCCATGCACGGAGGGAAAAGTCACAATACATCACGTGACAATGCTGTGACTACACAAGTTTGACACCCCTGCCTTGTGCCATCACTGGTTTGCTAGAAACTGTGATGTTTTTCTCCACAATTGGCTCCACAATTGATAGGGCTTTCGGTTAGGACAGGTAAAGGAAAAAGGACGCTGCACTAGGAGGAGGCTCTATGGTGGGGGAACTGACTTCCAGTTGGCAGAGGAAAAAGGGGGAGACTCTATGATGGGGGAACTGAACTTTCAGTTGTCTCCAGAATTGAACGGGGGCTTCTGGTTAGGACCTTTGTGACTCTTTGAGTGTTTAAGGTTGCCGACCCCTGGTCTATCTTACATAAATTCCAAGGACAGGTGTTGATCTTGAGACCCTTTGCACAACAAAGATAAAGAGCCTAACCATTTCTAAGGGTCATATAATTGTAACATTGCTTGCTTCATGTCCAGTTTGCTGCAAGTTGTTTTTGGTTGTTCTGCGGTTGAAGTGATGTTTTCTCTTTTCTCCCAACACAAGTCTTGTAGTAAGGATCATCTACAAGCTCTCAGAAATGAGCCTGGCAACTAAATGGTCAGTGGGAGGGCTCTGTCCAACTGCTGAAGTCTGTTGTGAACTTTCCCTCTTTTTAGCCTGTCATTGGATGCTGATTCCTATGGTCACTCAGGCTTGGTTTGTAATACAGATCAGACGTCTGCTCTGTGAAGTCTTTTATTGGTCTGCTTTTTAACACAGAAATGATCCATCTCCCAGAAGACATTTGGACTTTTTAAAGAAACATAGGAAGGAGACTAATAGTCCCATAAAGGTAAAGGTTCCCCTCGCACATATGTGTTAGTCGTTCCTGAGTCTAGGGGGCGGTGCTCATCTGTTTCAAAACTGAAGAACCAGTGTTGCCCGAAGACATCTCCATTGTCATGTGGCCAGCATGACTTAACGCCAAAGGTGCATGAACCCTGTTATCTTCCCACCAAAGGTGGTCCCTATTTTTCTACTTGCATTTCTTATGTGCTTTCAAACTGGGACAAGTAATGGGAGCTCACCCCATTATGCGGCACTAGCGATAGTCCCATAGGACTATTTATTTCCACTAGGAAATAAATACAGTACTTTCAAAATTTGGCCAACAGGAAAGAGTGTCCACAGTTTTTAGCCCTATCTTACCATACAGTATTGAGAACAATTGGAGATGTTTTTTTTTTTTATTGATGAAAATGAAACTGGTGAACCCATCAGTCTTTACCTTGCATTTGTAAGGGCAGCAACACTTCCTACCTTGCTACTGAGTCACAGTAAGCTTGACTATAGAGGCAACTCAACTTAAATCAATCCTTCCCCTTTGTTCTCTTCTTCTCCTGTCACCCAAGGATTGGGAAGTGAAATGGGAAAATGTGTTGTGAGAAATGGGTGTTTGCTTGGCACTGTTGTGGAACTTTGCCAAAATAAGGAGTACAACACTGAGAAGAACCATAGTTTTGCAATGATCACTGAATGCATCTTTTAGAAAAAAAAAAGTGTCCATGACCAATGGAAAAGCAGTTTTTAATAGAAGTGGAGGGCTACAAGGCAGGAAATCCTAGGGATCTAAGTGTCTGGTCAGTTTGGGCAAGCTTGGCAGGTCTTTGTCCCTGTTCCTGTAGTGAATTCTATCATCAGGCAGAGTGAGACTTTTAGGAAGGCAGCAGAGCTGGAGATGTTCATTTTGAAAGAGATAAAACATTGAGGTCATCAGCTGATAAAATCACAACTAGGTCACAACTTCCTGTTGCTCTTGTGCTATACTGTGAGTGGGTGAGGATGCTTCTATTCTTTGGTCTCGATGGAAGAGGGGGAGAGAATTTGCCAAGGCCAGGGTGAGTCAATTCAACTCTGATAGATTACGCAAAAAGAGGAAGTGGGTTTTACCTTGATCATATCCAAAAGGCAAGGTGGGGTCTGGGAGTGGGTAAAGTCTTTATTTTGTTAGTTAGGTTCATTTTTTCTACTACAGGCACAGTAGAAGAATCCTGCTAATCAATGGCAGAACCACAGGGGGACATGCTAGCAGCAGCCTCAGCTAGCTACTAGAATCCCTAACCTTACTTCAATGTGATATAATTCAGATGGACTAAATCGGGGGTCCTGACCTGCCCCGGACCATGGCCCTCTACTGAGCCATGGCCTATTTGCAAGTATGCCTCAGAGTGGCAAGCTCGTATGCACATGCAGCAAAACTTGCTCACTCGCATGGCTCGGTTCCTCTTCCCCCCACTGAGGTTGTGGATCGCTGGACTAAACAGATACAGTAGCTTATGCTGAAAATGCTATTTTGCAAATGAAATAATAAGAGTTAAGTTCTTTCTGCCTTTTTAACAGGTCAGGTAAATTGACTCTGACATAATTTGTCTATTCCTCTAAATTCATCTAATGAAGTATCTGCAATTCATGCTGAATAAATTATCTAGAATCCAAAAGTAGGTCTTCTGATTTGAGGTAGACTGGGTAGTGATGGTTTCATCAAGATAGATTCACCAAGATAGATCACATACAATTCAAAACTACAGACCGGATACAATTTTATGTTTTTTATCTTTAAAAGGGAATTTGATTCTATGTTTTAACAGGAATTACTGTGAAAAAGATTGCTGATTTACAATTTAAAGTTGTTTTAAAGTTTCTGTTTTCATTTAATACTGAATTCCTAAATGTAACTGTGAACATTTTATCATAACCACTAGTGTGTTTGTTGACAGCAACAAATTGAACGACAGCTAAAATGCTTGGCATTTCAAAATCCAGGACCTCTGCTGGCAGATTTCAATCCAGAAACTCGGGAACAACAAAAGAAAGTCTGTATGTCAATGATAAACCAGGATTGTTTTAATACGACAAAGAAGTAAGATGATGTATTCAAGTTCTTCCTATATTTTAAATTAGCTTTGGAAATAGAAATTTACAGGGTTGTTTAATCACCATCAGATGCTTAAGGTTCCAGACTAATGCATGGCTTCTTGAAAGTTCTACTCCAGTTAGCAGGGGAAAAAAATCTATTCAAAATTACCATGATTGCTGCAATCATGGCTATTGTTCCTTAAAATTCTCTTTTTTAAGTATTTAAGACAATAAATCTGCTCAGAATTAAATTATAGGTCTTTTGGAAGATTAAGGATGTACAATTGGTTTTGGGCTGAAGGCTGCATTTGGTCACAGAGAGTAGTGTGTATCATACTACAAGAGGGTGAAGCCAAGACAAATACAAATATTGGTTTAAATTTAGTGTGTTATGCATGCATATACACACATGCACAGAATATTAATGAAATGAAATACAATTAACGTTAATGGTGAGCAAAGTTTTCTGGATTTGAAATTTCAAGGCTGAAATGCTGTTTCATATTCAGAATGTCTCTTCTAAATTCCAGAGGATTTTTTTCCCTCAAAGGTGATTTAAGGGGCAAGAGTAAATTAGAGTATTATTTCGAGTGCTACATATAGTACTTTTTTCTAGTCCTCGTGCATTTTATTTAGCGTTTTTAAGAAACCACAGAAAGAACATCCAGCAGTGTAGAAGTGATCTTCAGTATGTTGATTGATAGTTCTATGTAGTTTTGCATCTAAACGGGAATCTTAAAAGGTTTTGGAACCCTAATAAGTGGATGAAGAAAAAAAAAATCAAAATAGGAATTATATTATTTTGACAGAGAAGCAATAGCCTATATTTTTTTCACATGCACACATATGCATTTGTGTTTGTGTATACACATACTCGCGTGCGCATGCACACAGACTGATACACATACTGTACATTACATATATATAATAGTCCTTGATTTATGATAGCAATTGGGACCAGATTTTTGGCTGTAAATCATTATGGTCATAAGCAGAGGTGGGATTAATTTACCTTCACTACCGGTTCACAAATGTGAGCGCAAGCACAGTAGTCACGTATTATGTCCAGGCGGGTGGGTGGAGCCTCCCGCAGTCGCCGCTGTTTGCACGATCCGGACAGAACCGGCTGAATCCCACCACTGGTCATAAAACAAGACACCCATGTGACTGAACCTGAATTTACAACATTTTGTTGCAGTGGTTGTTAAATGAAACTGTGTTCGTTAAGTAAATGCCACGCTTGTAAATGAGAAGCCATTCTTCTGAATGGTGGTTTTTGCCAGAAACCAGCAAAAAGGATACAAATCATGGCCAAGTGATCACAGGACTCTGCAAGCTAGTTCCCAAGTGTCCAAAATGTGGTCATGTGATATAGGGTGGGAGGGGAGGAGGTGGAATGACATTTTATGATGGCCAGAAGTGCTTTACTGGCTGGCACCCATTCTAGGCCTGTCATACGTTTGAATGGTTGTTAAAGGACCAGTCATAATTCAAGAACTACCTGTATATATATATATGCAGTCTCCAAGAAATATAGCCACATGTCAGTTTTTATCTCTAGTTAGTTTGGATGGGTATTAAAGTCGCTACCCAGTCTATGTGGCTGGCTGTTTTCCACATTAGCAATCTGGCAATCCTCTGCTTAATTGGAATTTAATTTGCTGCTCTGCATGCCCTGCTTTTAAGACTTATGTAGCTGATCAGAATCCTAATATTTCTCTTTTCCACTGGGGATATTGCTTTCATATATATAAAAAAAGTGCATATCCTAACATGACACAATCTGGCATACCATTTATGCTGCCATTTATAGTTTACCTGAGTTAAAAAAAAAATCCCATGCTAAGCAGTCCTGAGGAACCATCTGTCAAAGCAATTTTATTCCTCCTCTTTTAAATAGGTCTTTGGTAATGCTACATTCCATTTCTGAGGTAAAGATAAAAGTGTTCTTTATTTGTACATTAAAATAGTATCAGAGGGGAATTCTGGAGATCTCTCTCTCTCTCTCTCTCTCTCTCTTTTGCTTTACAGTGCATTTTTCGTTTTTTCTTTTACTTCATATTCTAACAATCTAACAAGGTTCCTCTGTCTGCTATTTTTATAGGACTGTGAAGAAATATGACAAACACGGCCATCTGATTTCCAATAAAACAGATTTGTGTGATTGCCTAGAGAAGAACTGCCTGGGCTGCTTTTACCCTTGTCCTAAGTGTAATTCAACCAAGTGTGGGGCAGAATGTCGCTGCAACCGGAAATGGGTCTATGAGCAAATTCAGGTGGAGGCTGGCCAAGTCATCCGATTTCCATTTCGAAACAATTAAATCACATTACATTTCCTGATATTATTTTTCTCCCCTTTGTAAAGAAAAACAAAGGGTTTTTTATTTTTATTTTTAACAAATAAAGGCAGGGTTGTTGTTGTGGATCAGTCACTAAGTCTTTAACAGTAACAGAGTTGGAAGGGACCTTGGAGGTCATCTAGTCCAACCACCTGCTCATGCAGGAGACCTATACTAGGGATTCGAACTGCCAACCTTTCTGATCGACAAGCTTAGCATCTTAGCCACTGAGCTACCTAGCCAGTCCTGACCACAGCATGCTAATCTCTTCCACTGTTTCCAGGAGTTTGTCCAAAGTCATGTTCATTGTGTTGATGGCACTATCTAACCATCTCGTCCTCTGCTGTCCCCTTCTCATTTTGCCTTCCACTTTTCCTAGCATCAGGGTCTTTTCCAACGAGCCCTCTTTTCTCATTAGCTGCCAAAGTATTTGAGCTTCAGCTTCAGTGTCTGCCTTCCAAAGAAAAGTTGTGGCTCTTTTTCTTTAGGAAACTGCAGGGTTGCCATACTATTTTATGGAAGGAAAATAAATAGCTTAAATAATACAAGGAAACTTGGAAAAGTATATGTCTAGCATAACAGAACCATGATTGCAGTGGAGGGGAAAAGAAAGTTTGATAACGAAAGCATCAGGAGAATTCTGGACAGAATTGGAGAAAAGATTGTTCACATTTGTCTAGTGTCAGCTCCTGCGTGCCGGCCGGCCCGGACCTGCCATTCGGGGCAAGGAGAGCGACTACCCGGTTGTACGAGAAGCCAAGGAGGATGCACACTATGGCGCTGCGCTGCCTGGTACCTGTGGGAGCAACAGCAGGGCTCCAAACTGTTTCCAGAGGTCTGGGGGAGTCGCGCGGCCACCGAACAGCTAAGAGGCACAGCGATGATGTCAGCAAGGAGACTGGCAAAAGCAGGAGGAAACACCTCCAATCTCTCTGCATCTTACTCAGACTCTCCTGGTAGCAATTCTAAGTCTACATCTTCCCTTGACTGTCATAGACTGATGACCAGCACAGCGCCTGGCTCCCTTTCCCAGTGAGTGTGGCCAAGCAGCCTGAGGGACATGGGATAGGCCAGGCAGATGCTGTCTATTGAATATTATAAATACTTCCGGATCACATGGGAGGGGATTGTGCGTGTGATTGGGTGATGGGTGGGCGGTGACTAAAGTATAAAAGGCAGTGGGAAGCATGGGCTGATAAGCCCTAACAATAGTTTCTTTTGGATTGTGAGTGCCAGAAATAAAAAGGCAACAACAGACCAGGTTTGTTTGTGTCCTTTATCCTCCTTAGCCTGGGATCTGACATCTAGCTCCATTACAAATCAGTGGCTCCCCCATGTGCTTTATATAGCACATTTGAAGTGCATAAAGTGGATGGTTTGCTAATTTTGAAGATCTTGGAACACATGTGATTAAGAGAAGTTTTGCACGGTAGGGATCAGTGGTGGTATTTAGCCAGTTCTATCTGGTTCGAGCGAACCGGTAGCGGCGTCTGCGGGAGGCTCCGCCCACCTGCCCGGATGCCATTATGTCCCATTTTTGATCCCCTGCGCATGCGCAGAGCCTCTACGCATGCCCGGAGGTGGTGCTTGCGAGCGAAGCACACACTCACATTTGAGAACCAGTAGCGAAGGTAAGTGAATACCACCCCTGGTAGGGATGGAAGGAGATTATAGGTAAAAGAAAAAAAAATGAAGAATTTTTCAAATATTATTTTTCCCCCTCCTCCTCTGAGCCAAAGCTGCTGTGATCCTCAGCAAATGGGTATTAGAATTTCATCTTAGGTTATTGGAATGTAGTGAGCAGCTGCCTGTGAGTGTCTTTAGTTAGAAAATGTTAGCATTAAGCCTTCTTCACTTTGGTAGCTTCCAGATGTGCTGGGAAGACTGTAATTTCAGAGACTAAACTGGCTGGGGAATCCTAGAAGTTACAGCTGTAAAATATTTGAAGAGCCTCCAGGCTTATCTAGGCTCTAGGGAATTGACTGAATATTCCTCCACCGCTAGGGTTAAGTAGAAGGGCATGTGCGGTTAAAACCCTTTTTGTTCAGTAGAATCAGCCAAGGATAAAGAATGTAAAATCAGCTGAGTAAATTGAAAAAACCAACCTCAATTGCTCATTATTTCTTGAATTTGTCTATGCATGCATTATACAATCATTCCTTGGTGCTGCTCAGAAAAAAGAAAAAAAGTTATGCTTATGAAATGGTCACTAAATGAACTATTGTAAGTCGAGGACTACCTGTAACAGGAAAGGGACGACTGAGCCCTATGGTATCCCACATTGGGGCACCATGTGCTCAATTCCATAAATGTGTACATTTATGTGTACATTGTGATGGTTAGGGTTATGCCACAATGAATATGTGCCAATATCACAGTATTTCAGGACATTCAACGTGTCACAGAGACCTTATAAGTAATAAAAATAATACAAATTAAGTAATTTGTCTTGAATTAGCTCAAAAGTTTCTCCACAGCAATGATTCCAACCATGGTTCATATAAGTACTTCTCTTAGAAAATGTCAACCAGATTTCGACTAGTAAGCCATTCTTCTAGGTTTCAGTGACAGATTCTGATTTTCCTGGACAGAATGCCAAATGATCCCACTTCATTATTTATCGGGAAATAAGTCTAGCCTGCCCTACTGTTTACAACACTTACCCATTAACAATTGAGAAGGAAAAGCTCTTTATATTTTATATTCATCACTCTCTGCTTGCACAATTATGTTAGAAAATGCATAGGTCATATCCTTTGAAGACTTTCAAAAAATAAAAAATTGGGAAAAAATGGTAAATTAAATATAAGCTATATCTCCAAATGAAACTAGAGATTTGATTAAGAATTCCTGTCTGAAAAATCAGGTGAAATTGGAATTGTGCCATGACAAATATTTAAAGATATAGTCCAGATACATTTTTGAGTCTGGATAAGTTTGTAACAAAGAGAATGCTTAAATTTGTAGTTCTCAAATGAGCACATTCTGTATTCCCAATTCTATCTACATTGTAGGAATTGGGAATCAAAGAACTTTCAGAAAATGAGCTGGCTATCTTTTTTTCTTTTTAAACAGATGCTATGTGTTTAATGTTAAGTCGACTGATATTCCCAAACAGTCTTGAGAAATGACAGTCTATTCATAACATATACCTTTTAAAGATACTTCACCATTTTTATTTTTCTGAAAGTGCCATTGTTTCTTGTTCTCAATATTGTAGGATGAATTTAAAATATATAAAATGTTATTTACTAGTTGTTTAGTTCAGTCTTTTGGGGTTGAACACAAAACATCTTCCGACTTTTTTTTTTACATATACAGTATAAGATAAAGAAGATCGTGCTTCTATAAAACACTTTTGAGAATTTAGAAGGCTTTAATAAAATACAACCTTAAATTTTTAACAGAATGTTAGTACAGTAGAATATAAGAGTTAAGAATTCTTTTCCTCTTTTTATACAGGATTTTAATAACTTTTTAAAAAAAATATAAAAATGAGATGGCTTCCATAATGGGCACATTAATAGGATGATATTGTGCAAAATAACCAACATATTTGATATTATCCAAAAAGCTGACATGTCTTGAACTTTTATTCAGCAGCCTGAGGGCAACTAAGGTTATAAAAGAAACAGGCTTTGCATATGCATTTTCTGTTTGATCAGATCTTATACTATTTAGGAATTCAATCCAGAGGTTTCATAGTCATTTGTCATGATCCTCTTCTGCAAATCCTGGGGAAAATGTGTACTTTAGTAGACATTCTTTTTTTGAAAATTTGCTCAGAAAAGAGGGTGTTCTTGAAAATATTGACCCTATAAAACAACGGGCATCTCAAATCTAGTAGATATGAAGGTTTTTCCATGTGATTAATGGAGAATAGTTTACCCTGCTGAAGTTTAGAGTCCCAGGAAAAAAAAGATTTATAGTATAAGCAAAGTTTTATTCAGGGATTATTCAATAAAAGAGCAATTACTGCAAAAGTTATCCTGCTAACCTGAGAAGGATGGCCAAGCAAATCATAGTGGTAGATGCTCAGCTTTGTTTCCTCACTCATGGTTTGATTCTTTGTTTTCAATGAAAAATACCAAAGCAATTATCCTAAAACGCTTTTCTTAGCCTGGAAAACTCAAGATTTCATAAGCCCCAAAGCCAGCATGACTAAAGGCTGTTGGTAACAGAACATGAAGATAATGGGAGCACATATGGAATGCCCAATATTGCAGAGAGCTGTCCTAAATGATCAGATGAAGAATTGCTCCCTCTAGGAGGAACTGGGCTTTCCTATGATAGTATTTACTCAAAAATCATTTTCATTTATTGAATAAATTTTATTTTATGTTAGTTCTATTGCCACTTGCTAGTGTTATTTTATTGCACTTTGTGCATTCTCATTTTAACATATTTTAGAGATGGATATAAAAACACACTTTAAACAATTTCGCAAGAGGAACATATCCAACAAATACCATCTTCTATGACAGGATTGAGGAACTAATGACCCCCAAATGTTTCCAAGCTACAACACCCAGGATCCCTAATCACTGGTCATGCTAGTTACTGTTGCTTCAAGTCAGAGCAGAGTTCAGCTGGAGATCTGATCCTTCCCTGATCCTAGGGAATTTAATTGTAGTAAGATCACTGCAGATGGGGAGCCAAGAAATTAAAAGACGCTTGCTCCTGGGGAGAAAAACTATGGCAAATCTAGACAACATACTAAAAAGCAGAAACATCACCCTGCCAACAAAAGTGCATATAGTCAAGGCTATGGTTTTCTCAGTTGCAATGTATGGCTGTGAAAGTTGAACCATAAGGAAGGCTGAGCACCAAAGAATTGAGGCCTCTGAACTATGGTGCTAGAGAAGACTCCTGCGAGTCCCTTGGACTGCAAGGCGATCAAAGTGGTCAGTCCTAGAGGAGATCAACCCTGACTGCTCTTTAGAAGGCCAGATCCTGAAGATGAAACTCAAATACTTTGGCCACTTAATGAGAAGGAAGG